ATGTACATATGTCCTTCACTCTTATTATTAAAACAAATCAAACTTCTTTTAAAGAGTTTCAAAATTGCTCTGAAGTTTCAGAGAGATGGTATGTTGTTGATGTAATAAACACTGGCCAATAGATGCCCATCACAACTGGTCTTTTCATGGTATAATTTTTAAGAGGTTGCAGGGAGCAAAATGTGCTCTTAGGGCAGCGCAAGTGATTTCAAATTACGTCTGCCATGTTTACAATGTTACATCCATTTTCAACCTAAATAAATGTCATCTGCTGGGTCTGCCTCTTTTTAACATTGAGAGAGGATAAAATGGGGAAAGCCCCATTTACAGATGCTTATTAGGGCAAGGTTTGAGAACCTCTGCTGGGTGTTCTTCCAGGCATTTTTTATATATATATATATATTAAACTATACATCTTAAACTTGCTTAGATTTGTGCCTCCGTGAAGGACGGAATTGCCATATACTTTATTTAACGAAGAAATAAGAGTCACAGAATACTATAGAAGACCAGTGTATATGAAGCATCCCTTACATTTTAAGGCTTGCTTAATTTTGTTTTCATAACATTAAGGGAAAGCATCCTAGCTCAGAGCAGATGTGGGCCATTTTTGTCTGTTTCAGGCATACTTTCTTTCACAGCTCTTTTGTGACCTCACTCTCATTTTCATCCTGATCCCAGAACCACACTTGGAGCTCTGCATGGCCGAAACTTTTTTCCAGTGTTAGGGAAGCTTATGTACAAACCTTGTACAGGAAATATTCCTCAGCACAGGTTCCAGTGCTTTGTACAAAGCTTGCCCAGATGCTTTTACAGTAATAAGAGAAACCTTGCCTGTACAAAATCCTGTATATAACTGAAGAAGACTCTCAGGCTTTTTTGCATTTCAATCTTTGCATGCAAAGTGAATGTTCAGTTCTGTGGCTCACCCTACAAGAAACAATGAGGCGGCAACATTACTGGGAAGAGACTGTTCTTCAATGCCCCACTGTGTCTGAACTCCAGCAGAAGCCAGTGTTGATTGTTGTCATGGCCGTATACTGTGCTGCCTGATCTATGCCATATATAACAGAAGGGACCTCACGTCTTGCCCAACTATGTACAGTATATTTTCTTCCACTTCTGTGAAACAATTTGTAATGTATGAATAAACCATCAAATCTCCAGTGTGGTGTGCGAAATGTTGAATTGCCTTGAAAATCCTCTTAGATTAGTGGCTTGCAAACGTCTCAAACAGAGGAAGCTCTCTTATAGCAGGTCAGCTTCTTTGCCCATTTATCCCTGCTGTTGTCTATTTTGGCTCACAATTCTCCAGTACTGGGGCCAGATATCTTTCCCCGTTCTTGCCACTGGGTTCCTTTTTAGTTGGAAGTGCCTGAGATTGAATTCGGGACCTTCTGCATATGAAGAAAGCTAGCATAGCTTCTTATTAAGAGGATCCATATGTTAAATTTTCCCCAGTCTGCTTGGTTTCTGCCTGTCTTAAACATCATTCCACTTAGCATCTTGCTAGTTTGGATTTTCTCCCAAACTGCTGCTCCTAACAGGGCAGAAAACCTTATGGAGCTGCTATGGAGAGCCAGTGTGGTGTAGTGGTTAAGAGCGGTAGTCTCGTAATCTGGGGAACCGGGTTCGCTTCCCCGCTCCTCCACATGCAGCTGCTGGGTGACCTTGGGCCAATCACACTTCTTTGAAGTCTCTCAGTCCCACTCACCTCACAGAGTGTTTGTTGTGGGGGAGGAAGGGAAAGGAGAATGTTAGCCGCTTTGAGACTCCTTAGGGTAGTGATAAAGCGGGATATCAAATCCAAACTCTTCTACTGTCAACAGGTGTGAGCCCAAAGCCTCTGTGGTCTAACAGGAGTGCACTAGTTTCAGATGTTTTCTTGATTCCTGGGGAACTGGTTCTTACGCCATCCTGCCCTAGTATGTCTTGCACATATGCCTTTTCACTCTGGACTGACTATAAACAGACATGACTTCTGCAGCTAGAGACAATGCATCTCTCAGCTACAAAAAGTTCAGGCGATTAACTTTTAGTCCTCATGACATCTTTGTAGCCTTCTATCCATGCTGTCTCATGAGACAGACGACTGCTCTTTCTCCTTTCCACATAGGAAAAAAAGTGAAGGAGGGAATATACCCTTTTTTAAAGAACACGGAAGGAACAGAAGTTGACTGCATCTTGTATTTAGTGGTGCAGAGCGGTGCAGTGGTTAGAGGAGAAATCTTAAGAAGTCAATGCAGCAAAATAATTCATTCAGTTACTAGGACCTAAGTCAGACTTCCTCAACCTCGGCCCTCCAGATGTTTTTGGCCTACAGCTCCCATGATCCCTAGCTATCAGGTCCAGTGGTCAGGGATGATGGGAAGTGTAGTCTCAAAGCATCTGGAGGGCTGAGGTTGAGGAAGCCTGACCTAAGTGAATGGTCAGTTATCCTAGTTATCCTAGCACTGGTCTCTGGAACAAGATAGGGTGGGCATTAGACCAGGGACATCCACCTTCACTCAGCCATAAAGCTCAGGCTGGCTTACCTTACGCCGAAGAATTGATGCTTTTGAATTATGGTGCTGGAGGAGACTCGAGAATCCCATGGACTGCAAGAAGATCATACCTCTCCATTCTTAAGGAAATCAGCCCTGAGTGCATGAGGAGTGGGTGGGTGTGTCTGCCACCTTCATGCCCTGGTCTTCAGCTTTGCAGAGGTCTCCGAATGAACTAAATGGGCCTCTGGTCCACTACGGCAAAGCAGTTCTTGCAAGCAACCTCTGCCCCTGACGATGCAAGGCCCTCAACAGATCCTCATATTGGAGAAAGGGGACAGAAGAATGATTTGCTCTTTCGTAACATTAGAAATCATGAATTTCTGAGGAAGCTGAATGGTTCAGGTCAGATAAAAGAAAGTGCTTCTTTACGCAGTGCATATTCATAGGGTTTGGGCTGGGTGTTCATCAGTATGCAGATGACACCCAGCTCTACCTCTCCTTTAAATCAGAACCAGTGAAGGCGGTGAAGGTCCTGTGTGAGTGCCTGGAGGCGGTTGGAGGATGGATGGCAGCTAACAGATTGAGGTTGAATCCTGACAAGACAGAAGTACTGTTTTGGGGGGACGGGCAGGCGGGTGTGGGGGATTCCCTGGTCCTGAATGGGGTAATTGTGCCCCTGAAGGACCAGGTGCGCAGCCTGGGAGTCATTTTGGGCTCACAGCTGTCCATGGAGGCGCAGGTTAATTCTGTGTCCAGGGCGGCTGTCTACCAGCTCCATCTGGTACGTAGGCTGAGACCCTACCTGCCTGCGGACTGTCTCGCCAGAGTGGTGCATGCTCTAGTTATCTCCCGCTTTGACTACTGCAATGCACTCTACGTGGGGCTACTTTTGAAGGTGACCCGGAAACTGCAATTAATCCAGAATGCGGCAGCTAGACTGGTGACTGGGAGTGGCCGCCGGGACCACATAACATCGGTCCTGAGAGATCTGCATTGGCTCCCAGTACGTTTCCAAGCACAATTCAAAGTGTTGGCGCTGACCTTTAAAGCCCTAAACGGCCTCGGTCCTGTATACCTGAAGGAGCGTCCCCACCCCCATCATTCAGCCCGGACACTGAGATTCAGCGCCGAGGGCCTTCTGGCGGTTCCCTCATTGCGAGAAGTGAGGTTACAGGGAACCAGACAGAGGGCCTTCTCGGTAGTGGCGCCCACCCTTCGGATGTGAAGGAAATAAGCAGCTATCCTATCTTTAAAAGACATCTGAAGGCAGCCCTGTTCAGGGAAGTTTTTAATATTTAATGCTGTACTGTTTTTAACATTTGATTGGGAGCCGCCCAGAGTGGCTGGGGAAACTCAGCCAGATGGGTGGGGTATAAATAATAAATTATTATTATTATTATTATTATTATTATTATTATTATTAACCGTGGAGTTTGCTCCTCCTGGAGGTGGTGATGGCCACCAACTTGGATGGCTTTAAAAGAGTATTGGACAAATTCACGGATAAGGCTTTTGGTGGAGACTGACCATGCATGTCTATGCTCAGCCTCCAACGACGCTTGCTTGAAACCACCAGAGGGGAGAGCTGCTCTTGCACTCATGTTCTGCTTCCCTGGTATTCCACAGGCATCTGACTGGCCACTGTGAGAACAGGATGCTGGACTAAGCAGGCCTGCAAACTGCAAATAAATCAAGGTGTCCATGATGTAAGCAAGAGACCTGCTAGCACACTTCCAAAGCTAAGCAGGGTCTGGCCCGGTTTCAAACTGGATGGGGGCTGCGTGTTGCAATTCCTACATTGCGGCGTGGGGGGGTGGGTTGGACTAGATGACCCACAGGGTCCCTCCCAGCAATACCATTCTACATTCCATGATCCAAAGGTCCCACACCAGTTTGGGGCAAACCAGAGCAAACCCGGAAAGCTTGAGGGCAGCGGGCCCCAAGGTGATTTAATAATAATAATAATAATAATAATAATAATTTTATTATTTATACCCCCCCATCGGGCTGGGTTTCCCCAGCCACTCTTCCAGCACATATAAAAACATAATAAAACGTCAAGCCCTGGTGATCATCTAATGTTTATTGGATGGATTTCCCCCCTAAATTGATTTTTGAATTCTGAATTTATTGTTGTTCATGTTTTATACTGTATTTTATGGTGTTTTTTGTTGCATCAGTTAAGTGTTTTAAATTTGTTGTTAGCCGCCCTGAGCCCGGTTTTCTGAACCGGGAAGCGCGGGGTATAAATAAAAATTTATTATTATTATTATTGATTTATTTTTATTTTTTTTAAAAAATACCCTTCCTTATACAGAGCCTTCAGGTCTCTTCCAAAAGTTGCGTGCTCCTTTCACCTCCTTCATACCTGATGGGAGAGCGCTTTCCCCCTCTAGCAGCAAGCGCTATTTGCGGGTAGCGTGCCCTGGTCCATGGAGGCTCGACGCGGCGACGCTGCCGTTCCCTGCCCGGCCGGAGGAGGCGGGCGCGCTGCCTTCGCCGGGGAGGAGCCGCAGCGAGAGCCGAGACGCTGCCGCCGCCGCCGCCTCCTCCTCCTCCGCTGCGGGCAGGAAGATGGCGAACGTGCAGCTGGAGTTCCAGGCCAGCGCCGGCGAGGCGGACCCGCAGAGCCGCCCTTTGCTCGTGCTGGGCCAGCTGCAGAACCTGCACCGCCTGCCCTGGGCCCAGCTGCGGGGGAAGCTGCAGCCCAGGGTCACCGAGGAGGTAAAGGCGCGCCGGGCTCGCCCGGGGCAGGCGGGCTGGGCAGGGAGGAGAGGCTGCTGCAGGGAGCTCCCCCGACCCATGGAGCTCGTCGGGGTCCCCACCCCAAACTGAAGCTCTCCTGATAATTAATAGAAATCTCCTTTTCCTCTTGCTCTTGCCTCGGGAAACGCTTCCTCTCTCTTCCCCCAGGCCTGGGCTGGGCTGGAGAGAGCGCCGCCAGCAGCGGTGGGGGTGGGCTGGATTTACCATATTTCTCCTGTCGGTTAGATAGCGCCTTGCTGGAAGGGGGGGGTTGGTTGGAGAGGGAGGACGGAACTTGCAATTATTATTGTTGTTGTTGTTTTTATTGTTATTATTGTTATATTTTACAAAAGAACTACCTCTCATCCTTTCATTCCCACGTGCTGAAGCTCCGCCCCAGGTAATTTTTTCCCTATCTGTTAAGCTGCTGACTCTCTGTCCTCCCTAAATGAGTTGCTCCCATGAGATTCCCACGAAGGGGAGGGAAAAAAATTGCTCCCCCCTGGAGGAAGCAAAAATTCACGTGCTCTCATCTCGAACCCGTCTCCCTCCTTGATTTATTTGCAGTTTGCAAGTTAGGTTTATTCTCAGTAGGCAGCTGTACAGCCCTGCCCGTGTTTCTTCAAAGTAAGCCCTACTGAGTCCAAAGGGACTTACGGTACTTTCAGATGGTAGCCTTGTAGCCGTCTTTTAAAGGAAAAGGGGCCCCTGACCATTAGGTCCAGTCGCAGATGACTCTGGGGTTGCGGCGCTCATCTCGCTTTATTGGCCGAGGGAGCCGGCGTACAGCTTCCGGGTCATGTGACCAGCATAACTAAGCCACTTCTGGCGAACCAGAGCAGCGCACAGAAACACCGGTTTACCTTCCCGCCGGAGTGGTACCTATTTATCTATTTGCACTTTGACGTGCTTTTGAACTGCTAGGTTGGCAGGAGCAGGGACCGAGCAATGGGAGCTCACCCCGTCGCGGGGATTCAGACCACCGACCTTCTAATCGGCAAGCCCTAGGCTCTGTGGTTTGACCCACAGCGCCACCCGTGTCCCTTAGCCCTCTCTTGCTTAGAGGCAAATCCCTTTTAAAGTTCACTTACTCCCAGGTAAGTATGCCTAGGATCACAGCTTCAAACCCTTTAAAGTTTTTAGTTTTTCCTTTTTCGCCTAGATGGTCAACCTACCCAAACTCGTTGATTTTGAGTTTTGCTTTTAAAAACCAGCTGTGTTGCAAATGCTTGGATTTGGTGCATGGGTGCATATTTATATATTTAGGAAAGCGCCACCCACTTCTTGCCTGTTCTAGGTTCACTTAAGGAGGGAGTAAGTATAACACAGCATGGAATTCTGATGAGAGGAGTTTAGCTCAATGGAAGCTGTTCTACACAGCACAGGAGAGCAAAAACAGAAGATATTCCCTTAAAAGAGGACTTCGGTGATTGCCTAAGGACAAATGCAGACAGCTGTGCTAACTTTTGAGCCATAGCTCAGTTGTGGAGATCTGCTTTGCATGCAGAACGCCCCAGCTTCAATCCCTGCCCTCTCCAGGTACAGCTGGGAATGCACCCAGTCAGTGCAGACAATACTGGGCAAACTCTCCTCCCCCCAAAAATCCAGAAAGACTTGAGGCCCATTAAAAACCCTAAAAGTCTAGGAAGGAGTGTCTCCTTTAATCCCCTTTAACTTCCATTCTGGCTTTTTGCAACAGGCATGGGCAACAGAAGTTGGAGAGAGGAAGGAGACTTTTCTTTTAAAAGATCTGTGCATTATATCAACTCAGTGCAGCAACAATTTAAAGATATTTTGCAAAGCTTACCGATAACTTGTCTGCGTGGGTCCCAGATTTGTTGATTTATTAACTGTCCGGGAAGTCAAAACACAGGCCTTAAGGTCACTTGACAGAATTTGAGCAATTAGTTGCGGGGGTTGAGAAGCTGGCTGGAGGCTTCTGTGCGCTTCGAGGTCAACAAAAACCAGACGGATTTATGGGGCATTGGTTTGGCTTTGTTATTTAGAAACTCCACGTCCCCATTATGTGAGATTTTTGTAACTCTTATTTCAAGTTGCTTTTTGCTCCTTTTTCTTTGCTGCATATGTGCGAGGCTTGTTACCTGTTTTCTTTGACATGTTTAGCAAAGATGGGAAACAGTAGGTGCTTAAAGCGTCTTTGTCCCCCCCCCCCCAGCTGTTGTTGGGCTTTCTCCCAGTAATCCCAGCCAGCATGGCTAACAGTGAGGGACAATGGGAGATATACAGCAACAACAGCTGGAACAGCAGCAGTCTCCCCATTCCTTTATTATGACACAAACTTTTGTGGATTCAGATCTGCTTCCTGCTGCATCAGGAAAGTTAAAGCTATATGGGCAGATAAAGCATCTTAATTTGTCTTGCTTGCCCTTTTTTGTACCCTGTGGCTGGTACACCTTTTGGCCACATTCCCCCGCCCCCCAATACACCACACATTGGTGTATCTGGCATACATGGGAAGAGGCTTCGGCCTAGCTCAGTATTATTTACACTGACTTCTGCAGCACCTCTCCAGGCAATGTTAGAAACTCAGATATATAAGCTAGGCACCAAGTGGCTCCTTAAACCAAAGTTACAGTCGCCAAAACTGTCTAGTTGCCATTTTGGGGGCAAGATGGCTCAAAGGTTATATTTTTCAAGTGATGGACAGACTGATTGATTCTCAGTTAAACATCGGGCTAGTTCAGGTGACTACCTTGAGCTAGGTTAAGAACTTTGAGAACTTAAAGAAGAAAAGTCACTTGATCCAGGGACAGTCCACATAAATACTGGCCTATTCCAACCTCTTTTCCTTAATGGTGACACGGACCATTCATAACATAAAGAGTTTTCTTCACAACTGTGAGCAGGGCACTGGGGTGGGGTTAGTGAAGAGAAGCTACAACAATTAACTACAATTTTGTTCACTGCTCCTGCTTAGGCCGCACAGAAAAAAGTATTTTGGTTCGTGAAATTCATTCTGATTGTGCAGATAAAGTATAACTGATAGAATTCTACAGGATGTGGAATTAGTGTGTGAAAACAGTCAAGATCCAATGATCCTTAGGCTTGCCCTTCCAGATGGTGAAGATGTCAGGCGCTATCCTGGTTCCCAGGCATCCTCACTTGGCTGCAAATAGTCGATAGCCAGGTGGAAAATGCTAATCTCAAACACTGATTTAAGGCAGGGCATCTTCCCCATAGGGGGATGCGGGTGGCGCTGTGGGTAAAAGCCTCAGCGCCTAGGGCTTGCCGATCGAAAGGTCGGCGGTTCAAATCCCCGCGGCGGGGTGCGCTCCCGTTGCTCGGTCCCAGCGCCTGCCAACCTAGCAGTTCGAAAGCACCCCTGGGTGCAAGTAGATAAATAGGGACCGCTTACTGGCGGGAAGGTAAACGGCGTTTCCGTGTGCGGCTCTGGCTCGCCAGAGCAGCGATGTCACACTGGCCACGTGACCCAGAAGTGTCCCCGGACAGCGCTGGCCCCCAGCCTCTTAAGTGAGATGGGCGCACAACCCTAGAGTCTGTCAAGACTGGCCCGTAACTGGCCCGTACGGGCAGGGGTACCTTTACCTTTACCTTATCTTCCCCATAACTACTTGGAGATGTCTGAAGTTGCACCTGGAGCCTTCTGCACTCAAAGCAGTAGCTCTTACACAGAGCTAAGGCCCTTCTGCATGTACCAATGAATGGGCATAGAGCTGAAATCCCCCTTGTGTTGTTGAGCTCTACACACCTTGATTGGCGCGTGCCTATCATAGAATCACAGTGTTGCAGAGTTGGGACCACAAGGGTCATCTCGGCCAACGTTTTGCCATGCAGGAATCTCTTGCCCAGCGTGGGACTCGAACCCACAACCTTGCAATTAAGAGTCTCATGCTCTACTGACTGAGCTATCCCAGTGTGCCAAATGTGCAGAAGGTAGGACCAGCTAACCTGGTGTAAAGGTGAAAATGTGCAGACTATTCATTGTGACCCAGTGACTCACCTCACATATTCTTTGAATGCATTTTGGAGGGGGGATACCTCCATGGAGTGTGGGTAGCAACTCTTTCCCAGATGTCTGCATTTTATTAGGTACGCCTGCCTTACTTCTATCTCCCTTGTTGTGTAAACAATGGAATTAAAGTCTAACAATGGCTAATACTGAAAAATTGAGCTGCTGAACTTTCCATTTTGGTGCAAACCAAAGCCATTCCAGTTTCTAGTGCCCTCAGCCGTTTAAATCCACAGAAGAGGTCCTCGTCTGGTTTGCTTCCAAAATGTAGACAGTGGAGAGGAGGGAATGTCTGCTGATAGCCATATATTGGATCTTTTATCTGGACTCAGCCTTGTACTTTAGACCAAGAAGCCCAAACAACAGTCTGGGGCTTCTGCAACACTTTTATAATAATAATAAAAAATCTATTGCCTTTTCAGCCCAGTTTAAGATATTGGAATGAAAATGGTTTTGGCACAAACCAGGGCCATTTAGTGATTGAATTTGGTACCTTGTGCAGTTTGTTCCTTTGAAAGAGTGGGTGACCAAGCTGAAAGATTGTTGCTGCTGATGAATGAATCTGTTGTCCTGTCCCCGTAATGAGAGATTATGGGCTGAAATCCACAGTTGGGCAATACCTTTCTCAGGATCAGCCAAATTGCCACAAAATACTGAGTCAGTTTTCAAGTTATCCAGAACTCTTCATTGGCCAATATGTTAAACAAAGCAGCAGATGGGGTGGCAAAGTGGGGGTGTGTGTGTTCTTTTTTAAGAACAGAAATTAGGTGGGATGTTGTTGCCATGAGGTCTGCCTTGGACTCTGTCCCAAAATGGAGATTACAGTCCAAATTGTGACAGAAGGAACAAGAAACCTATGAAGATTTGAGCCAGCCTGTCCATTTGGAGAAAGGCACGTTTTACTTGTCTCCACACTGCAGCAACTACCCCAAAGCCATTGCAATCCGCTCATAACTGAAGATCTGTTTTGAGGAGACCTGCAAAGGTTGCCAGGCAGTTACAATAAAACAATCCTATTGAAGGTGCTTTCAGATGGGAGCTTGATATTGCAAATGGGTCGTTGTCAACATGTTTGGGGTGGTTGTTGTGTTTGGATTTTTTCCTGGAGAGGGTAAACCCAGATTAAACAGGGAATATGTAGACTGATGTTTTGATGCCAATGACATAGTGTGGGCACTGTGAAAAATATGCATGCATGGGGGGCACTCATTCCACAATAAACACCAGTCTGGAAGCACCCTGAGTGAGAATTTTTGGCCCATCTAGGCTAGTAGGTGTACACCACTATTACCTGCAACCCTCGCCCCAGGGTTCCTAATGCAGGTCTGCCCAGCCTTGTTTTACTGAGTTTCTTTAACAAGGTTCAGCCATACGAGGCCCTTATTAATGTATATTATTTGTTCTGCCATTTTGAAAGAAGCGTAGTAAAAATCTGAAATACCGCGAGCTCTCTTTCCCTCTTGATGTATTGATGGAGACGCTCTTAAGCCATTGTCAGTTCATAGGTAACACTAAGGCAGACCATGGTTTAGTGCCCATGTGTGAGTGTGCAGACTCTTTGCACCTCCTGTTGCGTGCTAAGCAACAGTTTGGACAACGCACTAATCCAAACCATGGCTTAGCTCACAGCAGTGCAGCAGCAGGAGGACCGAGGAGGAAAGTGGTCAGTCTCTCCAGGAGAAAACAGGTTTGCGCTAAGCCATGGTTTGGACTTAGGGTTGGATGTGAATCGGGTCATGCTGTGATCACTGGGTCACCATGCAGTCTGGGGTTTTTGCATCACTGCAGCATTGCTGCTGCATATCCCTCACCGCTGTGGTAAGTCGTTTGCCAGGCTAAAGGGTTTCAGCTGAAAAAAACTGTGAACGGGTGGTGCATCTTCTGAAGAAGGGTCTCCAATCTCTCCCATTGTTTCCTTTTTCTCAGTTATGGCAAGCTGCGCTAAGCACCCTGAACCCAAACCCGACCGACAGCTGCCCTCTCTACCTGAACTATGCTACCATAGCCGCTTTACCTTCCCGGGTCAGCAGACACAACAGCCCGTCGGCCGCCCAGTTCCTCACGCGCCTCGTTCGGAACTGTCTCCCGGGAGGGACCAACAGATGCATCCTTGTAAGTGAAAGTGAGCAGGGAGATGGCTTAAAATATCCGCAAGCGCTTAAAATGCAAAGGGGCTGATTTATATGTCACGTTCGCTCTTGGAAGAACCTTGAAACACCTTGTTCTGCACTTGCAGATTTGTGATTCATTTCTTGTGGAGGCAGTTGATGCCTTTGGGTATACATTGGTCTTAAATGATCTTAGTTTAGGCAACTCCTAATTTACGCAGGGGTTACATTCCAAGGCACCGTGCGTTTAAGTGAAATCACATATATTTGAAACGCTATTGGAAACCCTACGAACCCCCCATTCCGCCCCTTCTCGTGAGGTTTTTGTGACATTTTTGGGTCATTTCTGGCTTCGGTGCATGTGCTGTTGCACACATATCGGACATGCCTAAAATGGTTGCTGTCTGAATTTATAAATTTATTGTTGTACTTTTTTTTGTAAATCTCTTTGAGGGATTTTGTTTTTTTAGTCAAATGGTGTATAAGTTCTATGAAATGAAAATAGAACAAACCAATCAATAAAATTATTGCCAACTTCTGAGTTTCAAGTCTCTCCACCGGTGTTTAATTTCAAAAAAAAGGAGGCAAGATGTCCTAAGCTCCAAGCTGGCATCTCTGTACAGGTAATTTTTAGTATTCTTAGGTCACAGTCCTATATTCTAGGGAGGGAAAACCTTTAGCCTTTTAGGTGTCATTGGACTCCCAACTCCCATCAGCCTCGGCAAAGGCAATGGTCAGGGGATTGTAGCTTCACAACACCTGTCCCATGCTATGTCACACCCACTTAATTGGAAGCAAGCCCAGCATAACTCAATATGGCTTCCTTCTGAGGAGACATTTGGAGACCTCAGCTGTTAGGAGGCTTGACATTACGTTGCCTCCCCCTCAGAAGTGTGGACAGATATCTGAGCTCCCTATATTCCAGGCATAGGTGAACTCGACCCTCCAGATGTTTTGGGACTACAACTCCCATGATCCCTAGCTAACAGGACCAGTGGTCACGGATGATGAGAATTGTAGTCCCAAAACATCTGGAGGGCCGAGTTTGCCTATGCCTGATATATTCTTTCAGCCCTCAGCCCCTTCTCAGGTTTCTGGCACGCATTTGATTTTCTGTTTCCCTTTCAGATGGTCTGTGAGCGCTCGGAGGTCTTTGCCTCAGCCTGTGCTATAGCAAGAGCTTTTCCGCTCTTCACACAGCGATCCAGTGCCTCTAGACGCACAGAGAAGAAAAGTGTGATAGTGGAATTTTTCCTGGTTGGGCAGAACAATGGCCCTGTGGAGGTGGAGACGCTTAAAGTAAGCTGCCGGTTTGTCGCAACAGAAGAAGTTTGATACTTTTATTTTAAAAAATTAAAATTAAAAAATATTTATTTGGTTTTTCAGATTACAGTTTTACAGTCACATATCCAACATACAACATAAAGACAAGATTCCATAGAATCTTCTGGACTTCCCTCCTCCCCTTTGTGGGTCGTATTGTTAATCATTTCCCCCTCATCTTTTATAATGATCCAAATCTTTTACATCTCTGTTACATCCAAAATTCACCATTAAACTACAAGTGTTATTCCAATCCTACTAACAGTTTTTACGGTTTACAATGGTTTTTAAGTTAAATTATACTTTTTGACACAAAAATAATACGGCGATGTGAGTTCCGCATACTTTGGGTTAATGTTAAAGGCTTATTTCCCCCCTGTTGCATGGCTGGTTTTACTTTAGCTGGTTTTCATGGAACACAACAGGCAATTTGCAAACACGAGAGTGCGTTAAAATTGAAATGTAGGTGAAATTTTATGTACTTCAAAAGAAAGATAAAGAAAGCGAAAGAAAGAAAGAAAGAAAGCTACAAGCTCCTAGGTTTCCTTACAGTAATACAGTGATAAAAATGAACTGGAATTTGTGATGCTACTTTCTCCTGTGTAGAAGTGAGTGATTAGACTTGCTAAGCTCAATCCCCCACAGGTAGTCTCTGGTCTACACTACAGACTTCCATGACACTTGAATTTTCCTGACACCCGGAAAGTCTCTGAGCGGTTGTGATGCATAGACACTCTTGACATGCTCCCCTTTTCTCTCTTGTATGAATTCTAGTGTCTGGAAAGTGCTGCGGAAGGTATAAGGCTGGCAGCTCGGATCGTGGACACCCCATGCAATGAAATGAACACCGACAGCTTCCTGGAGGTTGGTGATAACCTTTTAACAGGGTTAGCTTGAACAGTCCCCTGAATTTGGGAAGCTTATGTCCAGGATTTCACTGTAGCGAAGCTGTATTTTGTCCACGATGCTCAGGGAGGTGGCTGACCTGTCGCTTGGCATTTGATGACGAATGGTTCGCCATTTTGAACCAGGTGGCTTTAATGAGGCCCATAAATCAGTAGGACTAAATCTAGGTTCTGCTTGTAGGCTTCAGTGGGTGACATCCAGGAAAGAATGTGCAAGGGTTCCAGCACCACTAGCACCACCCAAATTGGTCCCAAACAGAAGGGTCTCTTCAGACAGATTTCACGTAGAAACAACAAAGGGCCTTACCTCATTCCTGGCTACCTGAGGATAGCGACATTCAAAATGTCTAGGAACGCTTTTTAGTGCTGTGCTGATATAACCCATCGATGTTTGCAAGTTTTGGTGGGGATGGAAAGACGCCCTGTAAAGACTGGATTAATTTTTCACAGGGCAGGTGAATTTTGCCTCACTCGCACATCTGCCATAAAATCCCTGATGCTCCGCTCCCACCACCACCACCACCACAACCTTAGAGCTGGTGAGGGGGACAATTCTTACCAGCAAATTTACAAGCAAATCAACAGCAGCTTGGAAGGTTTCGAAGGCTAGAAAGATTCTTTTTTTTAAAAAGGTCTTCATTTCGCAGCAAAAAGACTTGAAAGTTTGTGCTAGGTGAAGCACAGCATGGACAAGGTTTTTATAAATGGGGACCCACCACCGATAAGGCCCTTTCCCCAGTCACTGGTCCCCTTGCCTCAGAAGGTGAGGCAACCAGGTAGAGAGCCACTGATAATGGTTTTGGTGTCCTGGGAGGTCATTGCAGGAAAAAAGGGGTCCAGGCGAGTGGTTGTTGCATCCTGGTCCCTTGGATTTGGGTCTTGGATTCTGACTTTTGAGTTTAAGAAGCACAGTGTTTAAAGGTGTTGCGATGTGACTCTGGTGTCTTCCTTACCTGAAGGAAATCAGAAAAGTCGGAAAGGACCTGGGGATTGTTCCAACCATTATTCGAAACGCAGAATTGAAGGAGAAAGGATTTGGAGGTCAGTCAAACTGAAGCCATTTCCCACTCCCCCATATGGTAAAATCTTGTATGTGGTTAAGACATTACTCATGGGTAATTCAGATCATTTCCCCAGCTCTCCTGCCTCTACCTCTGTCCCCAGGCATTTATGGCGTTGGCAAAGCAGCCGTGCACCCACCAGCTCTAGCCATGCTGAGCCACACCCCGGAAGGTGCCACACAAACCATCGCCTGGGTTGGGAAGGGCATTGTTTACGACACTGGAGGACTCAGCATCAAAGGAAAGGTGAGTCCGATGATGGGGAGACACGGCAGCAGCTGCACATGCTCACTCGCACACATCAAAATTCAGTGTGTACTGATGCCCTGCTCGTGTGTTCGGTATGTGTGAAGGTGTCTGCCTAGCCACAAGTCCAGACTGTAGACGCATGTGTGATCTCCATCAATCCGAAGGGGGCCTGCACACTTGCAGAGTCCCTCTACCTGTGCATTCATCCATATTCAGGTAGGGCTCCTTCAGACGGATGCTGCAGGCCACAATGGCTATGTTCTCCCTCCAGTGTCCGAGGCCCTATCCAGGGGTCAGCAAACTTTTAAGCAGGGGGCCAGTCCACTGTCCCTCAGACTTTGTGGGGGGCCGGACTATGTTTTTTTTGGGGGGAAGTGAACGAATTCCTATGCCCCACAATTAACCCAGAGATGCATTTTAAATAAAAGGACACATTCTCCTCATGTAAAAACACCAGGCAGGCCCCACAAATAACCCAGAGATGCATTTTAAATAAAAGTAATAATAATAATACTAATAATACTAATAATACTAATAATAATAATTTATTATTTATATCCCACCCATCTGGCTGGGCTTCCCCAGCCACTGGGCAGCTTCCAAAAAAATATTAAGATACTGTAATACATCAAACATTAAAAGCTTCCCTAAACACATAAAACGACACATTCTACTCTTGTAAAAACACGCTGATTCCCGGACCATCTGCGGGCCGGATTTAGAAGGCGACTGGGCCGGATCCAGACCCCAGGCCTTCGTTTGCCCACCCATGCACCTCTAAATACTGGTTGCTGAGCATCACAAGTGGGGAGAGCTGCCGTTGCACTTGAGTGCTGCTGGTGCGCTTCCCCTCTGGGGCACCTGCTAGGGCACAGTAAGAACAGGGTGTTGGACTGGATGGGCCTGTGGCAATTGCATTTTTCATCTTGTGCCCCACTTTGACAGCCTCAGGCTGTGCAGCCGTTTATGAATTTGCAAAATAACTAATAAAGGTTGGGCTGGCCTAGTTCACTCTTGAGAAGCCCCTTCACTAGTTGGGCACTCCCTGAATGGCTGAGTGGAGCTTAAAGGTGAGGCAGTGTTTGTTATCTGTATAATGCCATCAGGGCACATAATTACTCCTACACAAAGTAGAGTAAGCCAAGAAGAAGCAGGTCTCTGCCCCACAGAGCTTACAATCATTCTAAATTTAGATGGGGAAGGAGAGGCAAGAGTAAGCAAAGGATGAATACAGTTTATGGCATAAATTCACTTGGAGGTGTGTGTGTGTGTGTGTGTTTAAAGACAACAGATAAAGCCTGCAATCCAGTCAGTACACACTTACCAGAGAGGAAGTTCTGTCGAACTCAATGGAGTTTACTCAGTGAGGGATACACTGCAGTGTTGCACTGTAATCACATTGCATGGCTCCTTCAGCACCAAAGCTTTCTGCATAAATGAATCTCTTTGTGTTTACATTTGTCTAGACAACAATGCCTGGGATGAAGAGAGATTGTGGTGGAGCTGCTGCTATTTTGGGCGCCTTCAAAGCCACCGTAAAACAAGTGAGTGAAACTGAGCAGTTTTTATCCAAGGCTGTAATGCCTGTTTTAGCCATGCAGTAGAGCCTTGGTGGTTCAGTGGCCTACCAGTGATGTAACATCACGGCCGTTCCTTATTTTGGAGGATTCAAGAATGTGATGCCCGCTAGAATGAGAGAGTATTCCTTGAAGTTCATCCAGCAAACAAACCCCCCTCAGGCCTGGAGTTTTCATTGCTGTGAAACTTGCTGAATTGTTCTTGGCCTCAAGGTCACTGCTCAGCCTGAGTCCTTGGCTGACCTTTGGCCCTGTATATCCAATTAGTTCAGTGTTGTCTGCACCAGGGATGGGGAACTTGGTTTTTAAATTCACCTTTAAAACTCTAAACTGCCTCGGCCCTGAAGGAGCATCTCCACCCCCATTGCTCAGCCCGGACCCTGAGATCCAGCTCCAAAGGTCTTCTGGCACTGCGAGAAGTCAGGTTACGAGGAACCAGGCAGAGGCTCTTCTCCGTAATCGTGCCAGCCCTGTGGAACGCCCTCCCACCAGATGTCAAGGAAATAAACAACTATCTGACTTTCAGAAGTCCCCCTTTATTCCTCATGAATGGTGGCTTGCCCTTCTGTTATGGCACTACAAATTGATGGTGGGGTGTTGCTCCCCTCTCCAGGTTTGGCATTCCTAGATTCCTTACCCTGACTCAGAAATAAATACCAGGCATGCCTAAAGCCACGCTAGGCCCCTGTACAAAATGCAGTCTATTGTGGGCATTGCACAGTTATATGCATGGCAGGTGGGAGGGGAGACAATAAAAACGCCTTGGAATACTGTGACAAACCGATGGGTGTTCTTCAAAAACGAGAAAGGCCAAAGAAATTCCACTCTCGCTATAGTGCTATGAATCTTGCTGGCAGACTTCTCTACCCGGCGATAGTATCCAGGGCTCTGAAAGCATCTCACTGCAGTCATTTAATGGGGCAGCCGGGCAGCCAAGAAATCTGGTGGGAGGCACTCAAATGCTAAATTAACATTTCCCAAGGCTGCTGCTGCTTTAAAAGGCATTTTTCTTGCGTGGAGCTGTATCAGAGACTTTGTTCGCAATAAATAAAAATGTGTGGCATGGTTTCTCTCCTGTTAGCTTTCATTTGTTTTGCAGGTTCGGCTCTCCCTTCATTTCACAGCTCTTCTTTTCTCCTTACTGCAATAGGGCTTTAAAGACAATCTTCATGCTGTTTTTTGCTTGGCTGAGAATTCTGTCGGACCAAATGCAACAAGGCCGGATGATATCCATGTTCTTTACTCCGGAAAGTAAGATTTATTTCTTCCCTCCGCTCTTACCCTACCTGGCTGCTGCCTAGTGCTTACTTTGGGAATTCTCCACCTGCTCCTAACTTTAAAAAATGCACAGCTGGGGCAGCACACCTGGGTCCTTGGAGGATTTCATTGGCTCAGGGAGATTGCTAAGCATGAGCAGGGATAGGTGTATAGGCCACAATTGCAGACGGTACAGAAAAAGTGCAGGTTGCAATATTGGGACACATGAATCAGCTTCTTGGAATCTCTGCTTTCATCTGTGGGAAGGTTTCAAGTCCCTATGATTGGGACTGATCTGCCAGTTCATTTGGGCCATAGAAGAAGGCATTTCCATCAGTATACATCCATACCTTGGATCTCAAATGCCTTGGCCTTCCACTGCTTGGAACTGAGTGTAGAACGTTCTTTTGGAAGCCGAACATCCGACACGGCTTCTGCAGATTCTGATTGGCTGCAGGAGCTTCCTGCAGCCAATCGGAAGCCGCACTTTGGTTTTTTTAATGTTTTGGAAGTCAAACGGACTTCCGGAACGGATTCCGTTTGACTCCCAAGGTATGACTATATTTTAATTGGTAAACTTGAATTAATGTTTTTCTTGTGTATTTTTTGTAACATTTGTTATTGTTGTTTTAGCTTGCTGTTTTAGCTTTTCTACATTAAGGCGCATAGCAGTTACCTAACTAGATTAAATGAATAGATAACCCTTAAACATTGCCTTATTATTATTATTATTATTACTACCCCACTCTTTCTCCAGAACTGTGGAAATCAACAACACTGATGCCGAGGGCAGGCTGGTGCTCGCTGATGGAGTTGCCTACGCTTGCAAAGACCTTTGTGCTGACATTATTTTGGATATGGCTACCCTCACTGGCGCTCAGGTACTTTGAGTCAAAACAAAACAGGCTTTCTCTGCGATAGCTCCCTGCTTTGGAACAATTCTCCCCAGGGCGGCATGCTAGGTGCCTTCTTACCAGAGTCTGCTAAGTTTCAGAGTGACCCCAGAGTTCCCTGGAGAAAGAGTTTGAAAACCACTGCTTTACACAGCACTTACAGAAGGAGACAGTGGCATGTCTTCACAGCCCTCTCAGGTGCATCTTCTTGGCTTGGGATAACTCAGTTGTCCTTCTTGTTGGCTGAGGAGGAGCAGCAGGGAAGGAAGGGAAGGCGGTTGAGTAAATATGGAATACTACAAGCAAGTTAAGAGTGCTGTCTGGGGAAGGCCTGTCCATCAGTGCAAAGGTGGCACTGCCCCACCAACCTCTCCCGGCCCTTAGGCAACCTCCACCTGCCTGCCTTCTCGCTTGCAACCAGTCCAGGAGGTATAACTTGCCTCTCAGCTTCTCCTCAGTCGCAGTGTTGCCCTCGTAGAACTCAGCAGGGAGGACAATGGGGGCAAAATTAGATTTGTTTGGCTCTGACTCCACCTACTGTCAGCTTCTCTGCCTTCTTCCCTACAAGTACCAGTGGGCACCAGCTGCTACTGGTGTTGTCCTTTTCCCCCTCTCTCATTTCTTCTTTCCCTTCCCTGCCGCCCAAAGCATCTGCTATCAAACAGAGGAGGAAATGGCTTGTAGGACACCAGTCTTTGTCATTTGGGCGACAGGAGCGGGTGTCAGCAATAAATCCCATGGAATAAGTGAAGCCAACTCTTTATTAGAAGAAACAAGGTCTGCTCAGGAGTGCCAGGCCTAAGGAGCACAACAGCTCTTTTCTCAGTAGGTCTTGCCCTTTTGAGGCAGTTGTGGGGACCAAAGGTCTTCCCACAGCTGCCTAAGTCTCCTCCTCCCTTGGGTCCTTCCCAAGCAACCTGAGACTCCGCCGCCCGGCCTTTGCACCTCCCTCTTCATACCTCTTCTGGTACTGGGAGACCAGAGCAGAGGGGAGCTTGTCGCAGCAGGATGAGGAGACAGTTTGGTTTTTTCACCAGCCTGACTCGTCTCTGCCTCTTGGCCTCCTCTTCTCCTGTTTTCCACCTCTCTGCCACAGATTTCCCCTGCTCAGTAAACCCTGCTCCCTCTTCAGCTTCCTAGGCTTCCTCTTCCCAGTCTTCTCCCTCTGACCACTCTTCGTCTTCTCACAACCACCACTTCCCTCACAGATGCTTCTTGGCATTCCTCCAGCCAGCCCATGGCATCAGGAGATTGCATCGCAGAAGCAATCCGTGAGTCCCATCTACTGTGTAGCACTTCAGAAGCACTTCAGAATTTAGGCAGAGATGTCCTGCCTCTTCTTGGGTTTCATATTTTCCTTCTTGTTACCTTTCAGGGAATTGCCACGGGGAAATACCACGCTGCTGTCCTCACCAACAACGAAGAGTGGGAACGAGCCTGTGTCAAGGCGGGCAGAAACTGTGGAGATCTGGTTCACCCTCTTGTCTATTGCCCTGAGCTCCATTTTAGTGAATTTACCTCTGCTGTGGCTGACATGAAGAACTCTGTGGCAGTAGGTTTATCAGATTTACTATTATCAGTTACTATTTTATGCCTACGCTGAGTACAATGCCTGTGAGGCACTTTCTGCACTGTTTAGGGAAGTTTTTAATGTTTGATGTTTTATTCTGTTTTTAGTGTTCTGTTGGTAGCTGCCCAGAGTTGCTGGGGAAACCCAGCCAGATGGGTGGGGTATAGTTGTTGTTGTTAATTATTATTATCATCACCATCAGATCAAAAGTGCTGCTGTGTAGAACTGCTTTGCTTTCTGCCTACCTTCTCTAGAAATGCAATTGAGCGTCATTATCTGTAGACGGAGGCTTCTGAAAATGCTTCTTACTAAACCCAGCCTCTTTTTTGCTGTTTTCTCCAGGACCGAGATAACTCCCCAAGCTCTTGTGCTGGACTCTTCATTGCTTCACACATTGGTTTTGACTGGCCTGGTGTCTGGGTCCACATAGACATTGCTGCCCCGGTCCATGCGGTGAGTTGTGTATGATTGATTCCATTCTCTTAAGTCAAAGGCCGGTATATCCTCACCGCAGCCACACAAAATTAGATGGAGCCAACATTGCCAGCGATTCAGAAATGTTTTAAATAAGTAAGACGAAAGTTTTGAGTCTTTGTGGAGTGGGATCTTGTCTTCTGCAGTGCAATAATAAGCTAGTCCTCTGGTTATGCGCAAGCAGAAATATTAAAATAAAATAAAAAACCAACAATGTTTTGAGAATCTTAGATCTTTTTCAAAGCAAATGGCTAGCCTTTATAGAGGAGGTTGAAAATGGGTAGATACAGCCTGGTGAAACCTCAGAAGTCAAAGGAAAGGTTTGAAAGTCAAGTCTTGCAAATATTTTGTCAGAAGTCCCACTGAGTTCAATGGGACTTAAGTTCCATAAGTGCAATACGCCAAATCACAGCATTAGTACAAATTCTAGAGATCAAGAGAGGCCACTGGACACCCGGGAGATCCTTGGCCTTTCCTGGGAGCAGCAAAATCAATGAAACAAAAGCAGCAGATACATGCAGGTTTTGTGTGATTTAAACAGGTTGTGGAATTCAGGCAGTGTAACTACAGAGCAGTATCCAGCGAAGTATTTCCACCACCGTAAAGTGTTGTTGCAACACTTCTCCTTCTACTGCACACCCCCTTCTCCACATCTGCTCTGGAGGTTTGGGGGGGGGAACCTAGAACAGTTCTGGGGGGGCATGTGGGGAGAGGAGGCGGGGAGTTCCGTTGTGCACCCAAAAGTCCTCGTTGGATTACAGCCCACAGTGTTGGATTTTTTCCTCTTCATTTCTTAGCTTTATGTAAATAGCAGAATATACTAGTAAAAGCATTGGCAAGAGATGCATTAAAAAGCAACTTGTTTGATAGGGGATCCCTGTACATACGTTGCTGTTGTTGTGCCCATCTGACTGGGTTGCCCCAACCACTCTGGGCAACTTCTAGCAAATTATAAATACACAGTATGTTCAGGGGGTCTTATTCCCAGTTAATTAGGTATAGGATTAGAGCCTTAGGATGCTGCAAAGTGACTTAATTTGTGTGCCTCTTTCCATTCAACTTTTTATTATTATTTCACCTAAACAACACACAAGCCTTCATAGGCAGCATTCCAAGCATTTTCCTTCAGTGTTTCTCCCGCATTCCATGCTGAGACTCATATCTCTCTGCTTTTGCTCCTAGGGTGAACGAGCCACAGGCTACGGTGTGGCTTTGTTGCTCTCCCTGTTTGGCCGTGCCTCCGAAGACCCTCTCCTGAACATGGTTTCTCCGCTGGGCTGCAATGGGGACTCCCCGTTGGAAGATATGGAGAGAGATTCCAAGAGGCGCCGCTTGGTTTAATGCCCGCTCTCCTCCCCCTTTGGAGAGAGGGCACACAGGAATTACCTCACTTTGCACTGAAGGGTTTCCCAAACCACGAAAGCACCCACGTGACCGAGAAAACGAAAACAAGTTGCTCACATTTGATTCTCCCATTTCACTCTGGCAAAAGGCTGTATTCTGTTGGGTTGGGTGTTTTCCTCTTTTTTTTTTTAATGCGCTTGGGGTTTTTCTACCAAACCTGGTGACTTTGCTGCTTCCATTCTTTATGGAGAAGGGGCTAGGGATGTCTTATTTCCCCCACGTCCCTTTCAAAAAGTATCTGAGCCTATTACTGCAACAGCTTCACCTCTTGATGCCAATAGAGCCTTCCGAGTTAGTTCTGCAGGTTTTATTTCTCAACCCCTCTGCTTTACAGAATTCAATAGTGTCGTGGGGTTTGGAGGAATATAGGGGTTGCCACCTTGGGAGTCAAACACCAGATGCATCCCTTTAAATCTCCTGACGCTGCAGGGGATGAGGCAGCTGCTGTGCCTCCTGGCCTCTTTCTCTGGTTTGTTTTTCACCTGCTGGGAGGCATACCTGAAATCCTGCTTGCCCCCAGGTCAGGACTGCTGCGCCGGAAGGAACTGCAGCTGCCATGCCCAACAGCATAACAGGCTCCACTTCAGTTTGCAGGGTTGCAACCGCTGGGATGAAGCCACTTTGAGGCTCTGCATTATTCACTTAGCAGCAGCATAAGGGAGGCCTTGTTTTCTAAGGCAGCTTTTCAATAATAATAATAATATTCCTAAGCTACCATTCATGCATGTTACATCTTTCGCTGATCATTACGGATACGACCCTGTAAATGAGCCGGTGCATTTCTCCACGACGGTTCTTAACACCCTTCTGCTGACAAATTTCATCGACGTTTAGAATAAAAGTGTTAATGGGAGGCAACCTAGAATAAAACCCACCCTACTCTCAACACGAGTGTAAGCTTATTGAATCGAGGTATCTGCGCCGTTTCTTTCTGCAAATGCGTGTAGGTGACACAAAGAGTGCAAGAAGGATATGCAGGACAAAGGATATGCCAGTGTGGTGGTGTGGTTAGGAGCGATAGACTCGTAATCTGGTGAACTGGGTTCGCTTTCTCGCTCCTCCACATGCAGCTGCTGGGTGACCTTGGGCCAGTCACACTTCTCTGAAGTCTCTCAGCCCCACTCACCTCACAGAGTGTTTGTTGTGAGGGAGGAAGGAAAAGGAGAATGTTAGCCGCTTTGAGACTCCTTCAGGTAGAGGTAAAGGTAAAGGGACCCCTGACCATTAGGTCCAGTTGGGGACGACTCTGGGGTTGCGGCACTCATCTCGCTTTATTGGCCGAGGGAGCCGGCGTACAGCTCCCAGGTCATGTGGCCAGCATGACTAAGCCGCTTCTGGCGAACCAGAGCAGAGCACGGAAACGCCGTTTACCTTCCCACTGGAGCGGTACCTATTTATCTACTTGCACTTTGATGTGCTTTCAAACTGCTAGGAGCAGGGACTGAACAACGGGAGCTCACCCCGTCGTGGGGATTTGAACCGCCGACCTTCTGATCGGCAAGTCCTAGGCTCTGTGGTTTAACCCACAGCACCACCCGCGTCCCAGTGATAAAACGGGATATCAAATCCAAAACTGGCTATGAGTCATGGCAGCTATGTGGAATTGGGCAATGGCGCTCTCATGGCCAGGTGTTGAGGGCAGGCCATGGGAGACTGCTTGCTCTCTCGAGATACCGTGGGGCATCTTGCTGGGCACAGGACTAGGCAAGAACCGTGGCTCGATGTAGCATGGACGGTTCATGCATTCTTCATTTTCAGGGCCTGAGCAGCATATCCCATTCGCTGCGCCTTCCCACAGCCAACTTGTCATACATGCACATAACCATCTGGTCAATTCACAGGAAGAGGAATGCCCAGCATGCAGCACTTTTATTTTTTGAGGGTACATTTGCAGAGTGGAGAAAGGAAGCAAATTGTTGAAAGTATTGTCATGATTTCTAATCTCCCACCACCACCCCCAAAACACACACACACCCTGTGGCTTTAGAGTCCTGTGCTATGTGCAACATAATCTCTGCTCTTGTACATAGGGTAGTAAACAGCGTACATATAAAGCTTACACTTCTGCCTTGCATCAGATTGAGCAGCTAACGAATCAGTCCCCTCTACACCTCTTAATTCAGTATCTCCTGCCATGTCCCGTTGCAGTTGTGCCCCATTCAACATTTCCCTTACGAAACAATGCATTGTTGTGACTACACACACACACACACCGGCTTTAGTCTTCCCTGGGTTCCCTGGTCCATTTAATCATTGTTTCAGGAGATCTGTAGAGGAAGATGAGCTTGGCAAACAGCTGCTCCTCCAACTCCAGCTCCCCGGCCTCCCTAGCCAGGAAGATATCCGTGCAGAGTTTCAGGATGCGGTCCACGTTGGGCAGCTCTTCGAACATGATGGAGCGCGAGATGCCGTTGAAAAGCTCTCTGATGAACTTTCCGATGACCAGAACAAAAGACATGTAGAGGCCTACAATGCTGTAAGGGGGGAGAGAGATGGTGGTGATGTTCAGGGTTTTCTTTGAGTTTTCATAGACTCATAGAATTGGAAGGGACCTCAGGGGTCATCTAGTCCAACCCCTTGCAGTGCTTAGCCCAGTGTTTCCCAACCGGTGTTCCGCGGCACACTAGTGTGCCGCGAGATGTTGCCTGGTGTGCCGCGAGATGTTGCCTGGAGGGAGGCGGGCGAGGGCGTTTGCTTCCCGGAGGACGGAGCGAGGGCGCCCCCTGCTGGGCCGGGGCTCGCTCTCCCCAGAGGGTAAATCTGGATCAAATGGGGCGAGGGGCGGGCAGAATTCTGAGGGCCACTGATGCCCTACAGACCCCCCCCCCAAGTCCTCCGGGGCGCGCGCTCTGCTGGGCTCTTTTCGGTCGTCGTGCTTGTGGGAAGCCGCCCCTTCCCTGGGCGACGCGCCGCCTCGCGACTCCGGAGTCAGTCCCGCGGGCTCTCGGAGGGACTCGCGAGCGACGGCGCGGCGGCTCCGGGGCGCGCTCAGCCGGGCCGCCACGCGCCCCCGCGCAGCCCCTGCTGCAGCTGCCCGGCGTGGAGCACGACGCGGAGCCGGCCGGGCTTGGAGGCGCCCAGGTAGGGCCGAGCCGGGCGGGGCGGGGAGGTCTCGGTCTGCTGCGGGCGCAGGAGGGCGAGCGGGAGAGGGGGAGCCATCGGGTCTCCTGGAAGGAAGCGAGGCGGCGGCTGAGGGGGGATGCAGCCCCGTCCCAGCAACAGGCGCTCCTCGAAGTGAGGCCACAAGTCGGGGCTCGGACAGGGCCTGGAAGCAGCGGCTCCGGCTCTTGGGAGCGGAGAAGGGGACTTCGAAAGTGGCCTGGAGGAGAAAAGCCCCGATGCAGCGAGAGCGGGGAGCGTGCTGCCTTGTCCAGGCCTCCTCGCTTTGTGCCGTCCGCTGCCGGGAGCAGGACACGGGGGCTCCTCGTTCGCATGCTTTCCCGGGTGATCGGTGAGGGTTAGGGTTAGGGTTAGGGTTAGGGTCCCTCAGTCCCTCGCTTTGCTGCCTCCTCCCCCCCCCACCCCCAAAGCTTGGAGGTTCCCCGGCAAGGGGGAGGGAAAAAAATTGAAAGTTACACTTTCGTGCGTCCCTCCCGGCGTGACGCTGCGCGCTGACGTCACGGGGCTGTAATGGTGGTGTGCCTCGAGATTTTTTTCATCAAACAAGTGTGCCTTTGCCCAAAAAAGGTTGGGAAACACTGGCTTAGCCCAATGTAGGGCTCAAACCCGTGGCCCTGAGATTTAAGAGTCTCATGCTCCATGGGCAAAATTGACACAAGTAGTCCTATCAGCCGAAGCCTTGCACAAGGACTTCCACTTGCGTAATGAGCTTTTCTTCCCCTCTTCTTGCCTTGTGTACCCCAGAAATTTATTTGGGGGTTCAGAAAAAACCCCAGAACAGCACACTGGCAAGGGTGGAAGGAAGAGGGAAGGCTCTTCTATGTGGCAAGCTGAAATGTTTGCACTGACAACATTCAACAGTGCAATATTGAATTCCTGCCAGCGATTGGCTGCCTGTTCTGTATTTTTCAAGGCAGCACAGTGGGAAAAGATTTCTCTCAGGTCTCCCAAAGCCTCCACCTTAATCCAAATCTCAATTGCTGCCCCAGAAATAACAGGTTCCAGTTTGACATCCTTACCCATGAGCTGCCAGAAATCCCAGGCTAGGAGGGCTGACCTTGTCGTTGAAGATGAAGAGTTCCATATTCTTACTGCATCCATTACCCAAACAGCCGGGCCTCTGCTCTTTCACGACCCACCATTCGGGAATATGGTTTAAGGACTCCTGGGCAGGCAGCTGCTGCAGTTCGATGGTGATATTTCTGAAGAAGGCCATCTTGTCTACGTCCTTTGGCGCATTGGAATGAGCTGTGGAAATGAGAATTATGGGGTGGGGGTGAGCTGACCGTGGGCCTTTCTCCCAACCCACAGGACAACCCACAGAGCTGTGGGCGCTTTGCACAGCTGCAACACAGGAAGATGCCCCCACACCAAGTCAAACCATTTGTGCACCCGGGTCAGTATTGCCTACGATTGGCAGTGGCTCTCCAGGGTTTCTGATGGGAAATACACAAACCTACCTGGAGATGCCTGAGCCTGAACTGAGGGTCTCTTCTGCATTCAAAACAGATGCTCTACCACTGAGCTGGGGCTCTTCCAGAGAGTGAGGAGTGGAGTCACTTCCTCCTACCCTAACATTTAACAAGTGTCCTTGCCAACACTTCCACTTTCTAATGCCATACTCAAAATCCCCAGGGAGAACTGGAACCCCACTTTAGCCACACATGAAGAAGGAAATGCTTTCAAAAACAGAGGTGGAAGTGGCAAAAGAGTGCTAAGGAGTAGTTCATTGGCTTTAGAGGAGTGTGTTCCCTGAGTCTTCAGCAAGACATTGTGAAGAGTCAGCAATGAAAGCAGAAGCTCCATGGGTCTAAACCAGGAGTAGCCAACACGATGCTCTGCAGCTCCCATCAGCCCCAGCCAGAATGGCCAATGGTCAAGGATGAGGGGCATTGGGTACCCTTGGTCTAAACAGAGAACAGCTATATGGGCGTCTAATTTTGAAAACAAAAGAGGCACTCAGATCAGGAGTGCAGAACCCACCGCACATCTGAAATTTATATCCAGCCAGGGAACCCCACAACCCCTGGGCCCCAAAACAGCAGCGTCTCTAGCCAGTAGTCTCTGACACCTTTGGTTTTTGGTTGTTGTTGTGTTTTTTTTAAAAAAACCCTTTGCTTCAATTAGAGCAGCCCCGCCTGCCATTTAATTCCCCAAAGTGCTTCTGGGCCCTGCATGGGTTCAGAGGCATTCATGAGAAACGAAGACGGTATGGCTGACTGTTTGGAGCTTTTGCCATGATAGTGGCAGCTGAGTGAAAAGAATTTGGGGTGAGGGTGGGGGGGAGGAAACTGCACCTGTGTGCTCCTTTTGCTAGATTGACCCAAAGACAGCACATTTCCAGATGTCTGGAACAATTAGACAGTGGCTTTTTGCTCATACGATACCACATGCATCTTTTGGCTTTGCCTTCCTACAGCAAAACTCTGCAACTCTGGCCTCCTCTCATATTCAAGCAGGCAGGATTTTCCTCCACTTTTGTCCACTTACCCACTTGCAGCCGATGGGCCATTTTAGCTTCTGCTCCGCCAGCTGCTCTCAGATACCTTGGAAGGACACCAGGAAGCAGACTAAAATGGGGGTGGGGGAAAGCAGAACGAAAGCAAAGCAAAACCTTGGTGAATGCTAAAGGTCTTACTCCTTTCCAGATCAACACATGTTCATTTTTCACATGTACCCTACACAGCTTCCAAGATATTATACAAATCCATGGAGGAGGAAGGTCTAATCCACAGCTATGGTAGCCAAGTGGAGACCCCACGTACAGGAGCCATATGCCACTGAATACGACATGCTGAGGGACACATACAGTAGCAGGGGAAGAGCTAATGGCCACCGAAAGAATCAGGAGAAAAACATAACACTAACACGCCTTCCGTTCTGGTCCCACGTAGCATTTCAACGATTTGCTCCCGAATCTCCTTGTCTTCATAGCGCATCGTGTGTAGGCCGGAGGCTTCAATATTCTTCACGAGAGAGGCATTCCTGATTCGATAAGGATAGGAAGAAAAGGTTAAGGGAAGATTTAGATGTTCTTCAGGGCAGGCATTATGGAAGAGAGAGATTCTCCTCTTATGCTATGTGCCTCTTATGGGTTTGCCAAGAGATGGCTTCCTCTGGAAAATCTACTTGACAAAGTGTCGCAGAAAGGCTGCAGTGCAAAAGGTGGGACTTGGAGGGTTGGGTGTGAGGTCACGAAACAGAGCAGGTTTCAGTTAGTTCCTTAGTAACAACAACAACAACAACAACAATGTGGCAGCCATGGGCAGCAAGAAAGAGAGGTTCTGCTACTCCATACCAGTGAGTAAGGACACAAGAAAAGCCTGCTGGATCTAACCCAACATTCTGTTCTCACTGTATCCAACCAAATACCAATGGGAAACCTGCAAGGGGAGGTGGTTTTACACACATACACAGAATACATGTAATATTAAAAAGATAAAAACCTGAGAAGAGTCCAGTGGAAGTTGATGTAGATTGCGGAGGAATTGGAGAGTTCTGCAATCATAGCGTTCCGACTTGCAGGGCTGATGCTCCATAGCAAACTGGCATTGCCTTTTATTTTAGCAACGATGACGTCCTCTGGGCTATAGTTGACTATAAATTGCATGGCAGACTGGAGAAAACACAAATGTTTTTGGTTTGTTTGCTGTTGTTCCAAGCAAGACAGAGAAACTTCTTTGCCTTGAGATAAATTCCTATCTAACCTGCTTTTGGCAATCCAGTAAAGATACCATTCAAATCCAGTTTTAATTCAAATTGGGTCTCAACAGCTATTGTTGGAGAGAAAGAGAAAAGGATGGCAATTTTTTCTGAAGGAGTTTCCTTGTGCACAATAAAATATACTTACAGGATGGAGGGCATATTGAGTGGTGAGTTCATTATACGCCGCATGAGTGAAAGGGACCAGATTCTGCTGCTGAGCACTCATGGTAAACAAAGACTAGGAGAAAGAGGATGAAATCCTGTGTTACAAACCTCAGCTCCACTATACAGACGTACCTCATCACACCTTAGCTGGTTCAGACCCAAAGGTCAGTTTTACACACTAGTCACAGGCTGATGCTAACCAACCCACAAGCTCCACAGCTCTGGATTAGTTGCATTTCAGCACCCATAATTCAAACTCTGTAGCAGCACGGTTCACAGCTGCATCAGCAGAACAATCACTTGGAAGCATCACACAGCAACACAAGAAGAAGAAGAAGAAGAGTTTGGATTTGACTTTCACTCCTCTTAAGGAGTCTCAAAGCGGCTAACATTCTCCTTTCCCTTCCTCCCCCACAACAAACACTCTGTGAGGTGAGTGGGGCTGAGAGACTTCAGAGAAGTGTGACTGGCCCAAGGTCACCCAGCAGCTGCATGTGGAGGAGCGGAGACGCGAACCCGGTTCCCCAGATTACGAGACTACCGCTCTTAACCACTACACCATACTGGCTCCCAATAGATCCATAGGTGAGCCCAGAGGATAATAGCATATGACTCTGAAAGAATGGGAGTTCCAATGGGAAATAAAGTGGGCATTTCCTACAGGAATCTGAAGGAGAAGAGGGTGCTTGGCAGCTCCGGATTAGGGAAGAACCAGGTTGGTTGGCGTTGACACTTGCTATGAACTAAAAGGTAAAGGACCCCTGGACGATTAAGTCCAGTCAAAAGTGATTATGGGGTTGTGGCACTCATCTCGTTTTTAGGCTGAGGGAGCTGCTGTTTGTCCACAGACAGCTTTCCAGGCCATGTGGCCAGCATGACTAAACGGCTTCTGGTGCAATGGGACACCGTGACAGAACCCTTAGTGCACAGAAATGTTGTTTACCTTCCCACTGCAGCGGTACCTATTTATCTACTTGCACTGGCGTGCTTTCGAACTGCTAGGTTGGCAGAAGCTGGGACAGAGCAATGGGAGCTCACCCCATCATGGGGATTTGAACCACCAACCTTCTGATCGGCAAGCCCAAGAGGCTCAGTGGTTTAGACCACAGAGTCACCCGCGTCCCTACAAGCAGAATGGCACTGTTAGACACAACCCTTTAACTGGAGACGTTAAGGATCATTGAGCTATAACTCCACCCTGTTTTTTGTTGTGTTAAAGCAACAGCTTTGGATGGTGGAAATGTCCCAGGACTCATCGAAAATACTTATCCTCAGTCTTAATTATAAATTGACCCGCCACCTCCTGCGGACCTACCTCATAACCACTGATGGTAATTTTGACAGAGACGCCCAAAGGCTGGTTAGTTACTCCCGCCACTGATTTGACCAGTGACATAAGAAGCAGAGGGAACCACACAATGCAGACGAGCACAAAGACGATGAAGCCTCCCATCCCGTATTTCACAAGCAATTTCTTCTTCTGCCCAGGAGGCTGGGGGTATTTCTGCAAAATGGAGAACGGGAACAAAGCTGTGTGTATACTCCGCTGATAAAAATTTTTTTAAAACCCCCCAATCTGTGCATCAAGGTAGGACAAACTCAGCATTCTGAAATACAGAATTCCACGCATTTGCCTAATTTGCATATATTTGACTACCCTACATATATTCCACTCAGGGCCAGCCTTTTGGTGCTTGAGGCAAACCACAAAATAATAATAAGAAGAGTTTAGATTTGATATCCCGCTTTATCACTACCTGAAGGAGTCTCAAAGCGGCTGACAATCTCCTTTCCCTTCCTCCCCCACAACAAACACTCTGTGAGGTGAATGGGGCTGAGAGACTTCAGAGAAGTGTGACTGGCCCAAGGTCACCCAGCAGCTGCATGTGGAGGAGCGGGAAAGCGAACCCGGTTCACCAGAGTACGAGTCTACCGCTCTTAACCACTACACCACACTGGCTCCTAACACTTCCCTCCCCACCAGGGAAGAGGGAGGGAGTGATAATCTACACCAGGAACAAGGAGGAAATAATTATCTACACTGGGATGTGCTGACCCTTTGAATCCTGCCGCCTGAGGCGGTCAGTTCACCTTGCCTCATATCTTTAGGTGCCAGACAAAAGCATTTCTCTTTGCTTGGGCTGGCTCACATTCAATGTCCTTTTACAAGTGTTTTTGTGAGAGGGAGTTATTGTGGGCCACGTGCATTTTCAAATATGAGGAGAGAAATGTAGGCCACAGAGTTAGGCACACTTAAACTTGTTGACTTGTGCAGCCAGACAAGAGAGATTCGCCCCAGTCATTGCTCCTGATAGACCACCCGGAGTCATCTTGATTGGTGGGGCTAATGGCAACCCTTAAGCAACAGGACTCACTTTCTCAGATTCTCTCCAACATTTCAGGATGAAAATGTTAGCATAGATATCCTCCACACAGATCCAGCTGGAGAGGCTGAGTGTGGTGTCGGTCCAAACCCAATCCATGGCAGCCCTCAGTTCTGTCAAAAACGGTATCAGGCGAAGCTGCACAGAGGAGGAGAAAGGTGGCTGGTTAATGGGGCAATAAGGACCCAAAACAGTCAAAGCCTTTCTACAAAAAAAGGCTTTCCCAGTATTGTAAGAGTGATGCTGTCAGAGCTGCCCTAGGTCCCAGCTCACAAAGGACCAACACCAGTTCGTTGTAATATAAAACAGTCTTTATTGAAGCTCAGTTTTGCTTTCACAGCCGCGGCGCGCAGCTCTACGTCTCAAACTCTAGACCGCCGAAGCTCCGTCTGAGTCTCCTCCCCCCAGACACCAGTTTAAGACTCTAGCCTTGCTCCACCTCTTCCTCTGCTCTCTTCTCCTCTGGGCCGCCTGTCCGCTGGGGTCTCGCCTCTCCTAGACTCTTCTGACGCTGAGTCTCCTGAGTCCTCCCCCTCCCTCCAGCGGGCTTTAGGACCTGGTTCCCAATCCTGGTTTCCTGCTGTGCCGCGCGCCTGTACATTTGAACTTGGCGCGCGCGCCCAGCCGGCCACCTTCCTCCTGACCGTTACACTGCTCCTGTCACTGCTTCCCCCTTCGGGGAGGCTAGCTGCACCTGACTCTCCCTCCGTTCCCTCACTCTGCGATGGAGGCGTGGCCACCCTTGACTCATCTTCTCTCCCTGCTGGAGGGAAGCTGGCCCTGATACATGTGACTCTTCCCCCTCACTACGCTCTGGTGGAGGAGCTGGTCCTGCTCTCCCGCTGCTGCTTTGGGATTCCCCGCTGGCCCCTTGCTTCTGGTGTGTCCCCCCTGGGACCCCCCTTGCTCTGGCCATCGGCGCCCCCCTCTGGGAATCTTCTGATTCGCTGGAGAGACTCATGGAATCTCTCGGGCCAGTCTCATACTCCCCTACGCTGCCCTCAGATTCTTCCCCTTCGCTCTCCATTTCCTCTCTCCCCTGTGCCTCTGCTCCTGAGCCCCTGACAGATGCAAATTCTCAAACTCAGGTGCCCTTTTGTTGGCATCCATCTGTCTTGAGAGACAATGGAATGTGAAGTCAAACCGTTGGAGAATCACGGCACCTGCTGTGGCTGCAGAGACCAGTAACTCATAACTGCTGCCTCCTGCATTGCTTTCGCTGTCTTAGCAGCACTGAAGTCACCTCTCTGGGACTGAAACTAGCTTGGCTGCAGGAGTTGCCAGAAGGTGGTGTACAAGGAACCATCCAACTGTCTTAGGGACTCCACTCTGGATTCCTGAAGGGTTTACTTCTTCTTCTGAAGGTATCTCAGAAGGTAGCAGAAGTTAAGGACCAGAGTTTTCCTTCTCCAGGAGGACTACCTTCCCAGGTTGATGAGCCCCATCTGCCCCTCTCTTCCCTCCACAGCACATGCAGAAACCACCTCCTTGACCGTTGGACCCACTCTTTGTCTTATCCACTTAATCCACCAGAGCTATATCTTTGTCCCTATCCTAACTCACTGAGGATTTGTAACTCATTCGCTACACTCACCTGGTTTAGCTAGCCAGTCGAAGCCGTTTCCCAGGGTGTGGCCACTACGGCACACCGACGGCTTCTAGGAGCCACAGGTGAGATCCGAGTGCAGGATGGGAACCCAAAGTTGACAAACTATCCCAGAAGGAGCACGACGCTTCACCCTACATATTATACCCACTTCAGAAGTCAGGGAAACCCTTTGGCATTGCATAAAAGCCCAACTGTGTCCTAGTCAATGGGGCGATTAAGACCATGGTGCATCTGCTGTAGCCTAGTGATGGCCAAACTGAGAGAGGGGCTCTAAAAGGGGTTCAGGCCAACTTGTGGAGGGCAAGGATATCGGTAGAGACTAGTAAGCATGGCTATATGCCACCTCCAAGATTAGAGGCACCAGGCTGCAAATGGAAACACTTGGCAGATATGTGTGTGTGTGTGTGTGTGTGTGTGTGTGTGTGTGTGTGTGTGATACACAACCTGCTCCCCTCCTTTCCAGTGTGCAAACTGCTTCACACTTCTCATTCCAGCCTCTTCTATGCAGGCTACATGGAGGAATCCCAACTTGCCTAAGGCCACCCAATAATGTTTACAGCCAAGCAGCTGCTGGAACACACAACTTCAGGAGGTATCTCAAGCCAGCATCTGCCTCCTGCCTTCCTGCCCTCTGAGCTGGTTACATTACTCTAAAAAAAAACTTGTAACAATTATTACAATGAAAAGGTTTTTTCCCAATTTTTACCACTACATAATTTTAGGCACCAGACAAAAACATTCCTACTTCGTCAGGCTATGGCCTTTTTACGTGGGTGAGATGCTTCAATCTAGTTTTTTTTCTTAAAAAAGAATTGGTTTTTCGATTTTTATAAATGTTAGTTTAATGTATGTTTGTGTTTATTTGAGGGGCTGTGGCAAAAAAGCAACTAATATAACAATAAAAATAAAATTTCTCACACAAAATAGTAAATTGGTAATTTTGTTTCACAGTAACTCAGTGTGAGACTGTAAGGACCTCTTCTACCTTCCTATTCCGTTTCCTATGTATGTTATTTCTATATTTATAGAACCCCTGAGGAATTATTTGTTCCAGCACAGGCCTGCAATAAATCTTCCTTCAAGCACCTGGAGATTTCCACCCACCCACCCTTCCCCCCCCCCCCCGTCAGCCGTTCTTTCTTGCTTTTGTGATTGGCTTGTTAACATAATGGCTTGCGTTTCATGGGGATATTATTAGGTTTCTCTGCCCTCCTTTATAAAAGTGCTGCTTACCCTTGGAATAAGAAGAGGTTTATGCAATTGTAGCTCTTAGTCAGAACATTGCCCAAGACCCGTTCGGGGTAACCGCATTTGATCTGATAAGCCGACAAACCAAAATAGACACACTTGACCAAATACCACAGCTGAGCCACCGGATTCCTGTTAAACCTCCTGCAAGTAAACAAGAGAGATGTTCCAATCTCCATCTTTAACAACTATGACTAGTTAGAAGAAAGATTTCTCAGAGCATGGCCCTCCTTGAACTCTGCAGGCAAACGCAGCAGCTAGGGATGTAAGGAGGAAGAGATTTCCACCCCATGCTGTGCTTGCCGCAGTCAGCGCTGCTTCCGTTCTGCTACAGTTCGGCTTCCGCTGAAGCCTACCTTATGCATCTTGCTATCCGCTATGGCCAAAATGTAATTGATTGCATACTTAATTTCAATGCATTTCAATGTAAAGGAAACCTCAAAAACAATGCAGAAAATAATGCAGTAACTTTGGTAACGTTCACAGGCTATAAAAACAGAACAATGGCCAATACCACTTATATTTGATCACACAATTTCCATCCCTGATCTTGGCCAAATATGCAAATTGTGAAGAAGAGTTTGGATTTGATATCCCACTTTATCGCTACCCTAGGGAGTCTCAAAGCGGCTAACATTCTCCTTTCCCTTCCTCCCCCACAACAAACACCCTGTGAGGTGAGTGGGGCTAAGAGACTTCAAAGAAGTGTTACTGGCCCAAGGTCACCCAGCAGCTGCATGTGGAGGAGCGGAGATGCGAACCCGGTTCACCAGATTACGAGTCCACCACTCTTATCCACTACACCACACTGCCAAATTCTACTCCCGTTTCTCTTTCCAGCAGAACTCTCCAGCATTCCCAATTGCAGTCTAGTCTGAGCATGCAGAGACATATTGAAAAAGTAGTAAACATCGGTTGTGTATGTGTGAAGGGGGAGGACTAAGCACCAATACATTCATTGCAATTCAAAGGAAATGCAATGCAAATAGGGGGTGGGGATGAAATTACCTACATATCATTTGTGAAATGAAAGCAGCAATAGCAGTGAATACTGATTTCATTTTTCTGATCTGGACATGGCACAAATAAGCAAACATGGATGCTTTAGTTGAGATTCTTGCATGACCCTCCAGGCCTGTTCCAACTCTACAACTCTATGATTCTATTATCAGCGATTTCCGCTCTAGTTTCTGTTTTTGTTGGAATTCTCTGGCATCTTTCATTGTCATACCTTTCCGTTACTCCAGGCAAGATGAAGAACATCCAAAAATGGATGCCAAAGACAAGTAACACCTGAAAAACACATTTCCCAAACATGCTCTTTCTCAGGTAGATGGCACGGTCAACTATCATCGTCCCAAACTGCACCAACAGCATCACCAGGAAAGCTTCAGGCACCTGGTCTTCTGAAAGGGACTCTGTGATGTCGGCGGCAGCCGAGTGTTTCTGAAACAAATTAGAAGCATTTGTTGATAACATGTGGGTGCGAAGAAAAGGAGCAAGCCTAGGCTTCCAGCCAGAGTCTATGGGCAGATCAACACTACAAAGCTATTATTATTAATTGAATTTATAAACTACTTTGCTACTACAGCAAAGTTGTGAAATTTTAAAAAAAATCCTCTATTTTCTTGTCCAATACTTACAGGAAATAACTAAAACAGAAGCAAGTCATAACCACAAAGTCAAGAAGAAGAAGAGTTTGGATTTGATATCCCGCTTTATCACTACCCTAAGGAGTCTCAAAGCGGCTAACAGTCTCCTTTCCCTTCCTCCCCCACAACAAACACTCTGTGAGGTGAGTGAAGCTGAGAAACTTCAGAGAAGTGTGACTGGCCCAAGGTCACCCAGCAGCTGCATGTGGAGGAGCGGAGACGCAAACCCGGTTCCCCAGATTATGAGACTACCGCTCTTAACCACTACACCACACTGGCTCTCACACTGGAAGAATAGGAGGCTTAGTTTGGTCAGAATCAAGTACAGCCGTACCTTGGAAGTCGAACGGAATCCGTTCTGGAAGTCCGTTCGACTTCTAAAACGTTAGAAAACCAAAGCACGGCTTCTGATTGGCTGCAGGAAGCTCCTGCAGCCAATCGGAAGCCGCGGAAGCCCCGTTGGAGGTTTGGCTCTCAAAGTAGTTTGCAAGCCGGAACAGTCACTTCTGGGTTTGTGAGGTTCAGGAGCCAAAATGTTTGGGAACTAAGATGTTTGACTTCCAAGGTATGACTGCATGTATATACATTTCCAGAGTTATCGCTAAATACATCACTTCTGGCAAATGAGTTCCCATAGCCACTAGAGGGCCGTGAAAATTTGTGTCCCAGGCTTTTTAGACTCGTCTACCCATGTACTATCTGAAACCAAAGGGCCACATTGCTTGGCAGATGTGAAATATATTGGCATCATTTTCCGCTCTCCTACCCCACTATAGCTTCCACACTTTCAAACAGATTAGCAGGACAGATTCAAGCCTCCTTAAGCATCTGGTGTCAAATACCTCCTTGGTTCTGGAACATGCAAAGCAATAACAAAGTGCTTTGGAGTACGAACCATCACAGAACTTTAGTGTGGCAGCTAAAGAAACTTTGGAACTCCCTGCCTATTGATATCGAGAAGGCACCTTCACTGTATTTAGCACCTGCTAAAAACATTCTAGGGACGCGGGTGGCACTGTGGGTTAAACCACAGAGCCTAGGACTTGCCGATCAGAAGGTTGGCGGTTCGAATCCCCGCGACAGGGTGAGCTCCCGTTGCTCGGTTCCAGCTCCTGCCAACCTAGCAGTTTGAAAGCACGTCAAAGTGCAAGTAGATAAATAGGTACCGCTCCGGCGGGAAAGTAAACGGCATTTCCGTGCGCTGCTCTGGTTTGCCAGAAGCGGTTTAGTCATGCTGGCCACATGACCCGGAAGCTGTACACTGGCTCCCTCGGCCAATAAAGCGATATGAGCGCCGCAACCCCAGAGTCGGCCACGACTGGACCTAATGGTCAGGGGTCCCTTTACCTTTACCTAAAAACATTCTTATTTAGACAAGCCTACCTAGGGGGAAAAATGATGTGAATTTTGACTTTCTGTAAGTTTTAAACTATTGCTGCAAATCTTTCTTGATTTTATGGCTTTATCTTTTGGTAAACTGCTTTGAGGTTTGTTTGTTTTTTATTTATTTTTTTACAATCAAGTGGTGTGTAAATTTTAGGAAATAAATAAATAAATACAACAAATATCTCCTGCACATCAGGCATTGTGGAGGAGTGGTTTCAAGCCAATTGGCAAACATTCAAGGCACCTGTTGCTTTAGTAATTAGCAAAGCGAGCTGATACTTACACCGAAAGCCCAGTAGCCGAAGATGACAATAATAAAATTAATCACATCGACCAGGAACATGAGAGCATAGACGTCACAGATTAGGCTGCATTCTGGATGAATAATGTCATAGAAGAATTGCCTTACGGGTCGGTATATCTGAAGAGAGCTGCAAGTGAAAATTTATCTAGGTCAGGTCCAGTTGAAAAGGAGAGTCGTGTTTTTCAAAAGGGTCACTTACTTTTCTGAAAGCTCAGTGGAATGTATGCCGCATGTCTAGCAACAAAGGGTTCGGCTGTATTCGTGAATCATCCACCGTAGCTCGTAAGAACCTGGTCACATCCATACTATACTTTTAAAATATCTCTTCTACCACGCAAAAATCTTCAGAAATGCATCCTGTTAAGGGTGTCCTTAACAAACTGCACTGAGGTGATGTCGTGACTCTTAAAGTGTGGGCGGGCTTTAAAAGTACAGCATTGTTGCTGTGACTGCAGTGTCACACACCCATAAAGCTCTAGGGCTGAAAGGAGAATCCTTTCGTCACAAATATTCCCAAGAGAAAGCATGTCAAGCACTTTCACAAACTTTTTGGACCTGCTTCCTTATTAAATACTCGTACTCACAGAGTACTGAAAGATAGCTTAGTATAACCAACTACGTGGAATTTCAGTTACAGATAGGTAGCCGTGTTGGTCTGCCATAGTCAAAACAAAAAAAAATTCCTTCCAGTAGCACCTTAAAGACCAACTAAGGTAGTTCTTGGTATGAGCTTTCGTGTGCATGCACACTTCTTCAGATACACTGAAACAGAAGTTGCCAGATCCTTCTATATAGTGAGAAGGTGGGGAGGGGTATTACTCAGAAGGGTGGTGGGAATGGGTGATTGGCAGATAGCTGTGATGAGCCTGTTGACGACTCTTAACGACTGCAATAGGTCTTACAGGAAAAAGCAAGGGGTGAGAAGGTGAAAAATGGCTTTGTCATGTATAAAAGTGCATATATACAAGGGGAAGTGTATAAATGAAATTCAGAAATAGACTGGAAAGAGAAGCTGCTGAATTGCAACTCATTACCAAACTTAAAACCATGGAGAGACCTGGTCTGAACAAAGACATTGGATTCTTATCTCATTATTATCTCATCTCCAACCGAAGTGCATATATACAAGGGGAAGTGTATAAATAAAAATGTGTATACTCATGAATACCGCACACACGCAAAATGCATTATATTAGGGAACACTGCCTGGGAAAATGTCTTCCTATGTCAACACTGAATACAAAAATATTAAATGGGAAATTTGCACTAAAACGCTGCTGAATTTTCACAAGGATTTCTTTTTTTAAAAAGCTAAACGTTGCAGATTGCTGCAGAAATGTGGACAACTGAATTCATGACTAGGAAAAGGAGAAACTGAGAGAACCACAATTGACAGTTCCAGCCACTGCGTAGCTTTGCTTCAAATTGGCTCTGGCGCCACCTACTGTTGGCCTCCTGACTCTACCCATCCCAAAGGGCACCAGCCACCACTGACACACAGATGTCAGCAGCACAGTCTATTACAGGGAGTGGAAGGTCCATTGATGACACCCGTATTCCCACCCACCCACCATCTTGCCCCCAGCTCTGTTCATTCATGTTGCAACATCTGACTTTTTAAAATAAATTTTTTAAAAAATAAAAAAATCCCAATTTACACTTTAATCAGCAGCTTCTTTGCCTTCACCATCTGCCGTTTCATTGCTGCTTTAGTAAGTCTCTTCCCGCCAGTGGGTTTTTTCCTGAAAAGGCTCCATTTCTTCTTGGCTTCCTCCAGAGTTTTGTCTGCCAAAAAAGAAAGTTAATCACAGCTCTCTATCTGGGAAGCATTCATTTCACGAGAGCAATACCTCATTTTAGGCTCTCACCAACTCATGTGGGGTCCGTCCGCAAAACACAAAACACTTGATCCGCCACCAACTCAGTCACGTTATCCGTGCCGCCAGTCCTCCAAGCATCGCTTCCAATGACCTCTGCATAGTATTAAAATGGGAGCTCTTCTGCCAATTTCTGCCCCAGAGGTCCCCCGCCCCCAAATGCTGGCACCGCAACAGTTTAATAAACACAGGGAGGTCAAGTTTTCTGTTTCGTATGTGTACAAGAAGTTCAGAGAAACAGGGAAGAAAAGGGTGGATGGCCAATCAGCCGTAAAAGGAGGAGGAGGTGGAGCAGGAACAGAACGGACACAAACAATTCATTTAAAGATCCCAAGAACATAGGAAGTTGCCTCATCTAGAGTCCATTAGCTCAGTATTTCCCCCCCCAAACTTTTTCATCTTGGCCACCCTTTTGGAATAAAATTTTGCTCACCGAATTTTTTTACTGATAAGAAATACATGGGGAAACCAAAAGAAACAACTCAAGCATTGCTTGATTTATATAACACAGAACACAACTACCTTCATTAACACTCCTGGCGGAGGCCCTGGAGGGACTTGGGTATCTAGAAGAATAGTTTCCTCCCGATCCAGATGGACGTTCCCTTAGATGGCCTCTGTGCCTTTTCTTTTTTGCCTCCCTGCCAGGTTCTTTTCTTCAGCATCTGGTATACTGACACCTTTGGAATCCCAAAGTCCATAGCACTGTAGAATGCAGTACAGTGAAACACATCAGTGAAACACAGGGACCACGAAACTGTTTGAGGAAGCAAGAGACGATGACAGATTAGCAGAGAGTTTCTTGAGATTGAGGCCGGAGGCCCCTCAACTCATCGACAGAGTCCTCTCAGGAGGTGTCTCAGTGTTTTGATTATTACTTTTGTATCCTACGTTCCCTCCGAAGTGTTCAAGGTTCATCCCCACAACAACAACAACCCTCTTAGGTTAGCAGGGAGGATCCCAAAGAACACCAATATTTCAGGGCTCATGCCGGCGTAAGTGTCAGGAGGTCCTACACATGAGTAGGAGTCTGGTAGAGACATAGGCCCAACTGGCATGTTCTCTCCCTCCTGGTTGTTCTTTCGGGAGATTCAAAATCTTTCTCCAGCCCGAATATCACAGCGACTGATACCAAGAGGCATCATCACACTTCAAGATCAGCAGAGTATAGGCAGTCAGCATTCCGACTCGGTAGCGCAGCAATTTGGCTAAACTACGTTTATTTACATATACACACTTGGAGCATCGTAACTCAGCTCCTTCCTCTTCAGCATCAGACAGTAAAGAGAAAGAACAAAGGACAAAAATCCTACATCAGGGAAACACAGTAATAAAATATCCTGTCTCCGTCACTTCCCACAATGTGGAATGAAAACATACACCGTCATGTGATAAAAACAATCCCATGACTGCAACACAGGGAATGAATCCTAACAGTAAGATCTGCCAGTATTGATTCAGTCAGCTGAGCCGGGATGAGGGAGTTACACTGGCGCATCTCTGATTGAGCCAGGAGATCCACTCATCCAAGTGGACCTTGGGTTTGGATAGCCCCCTTGCCTACCCATGCTGCCATCAGAATCCGACCTTTCAATGGAAATAAACATAAGTGGCAAGATAATAATACAGTGGTACCTTGGAAGTCGAACGGAATCCATTCTGGAAGTCCTTTCAACTTCCAAAACATTCGGAAACCAAGCTGCGGCTTTTGATTGGCTGCAGAAAGCTCCTGCAGTCAATCGGAAGCTATGGAAGCCCCGTCAGATGTTTGGGTTCCAAAGAATGTTTGCAAACTGGAACACTCACTTCTGGGTTTGCGATGTTTGGGAGCTAAAACATCCAAGTACCAATGCATTTGACAACCAAGGTATGACTGTAATAATATAGAAATGTAAACAACTGAATTTAAGACTGAAAAATGAGAAGCTGAGAGAAATAAAAACTGATGAATTTTGCCCATCCCTACTTATGATGAATCCTCCCTTGAATAAATGTTAATGAGTCCGTGCTCTAAAATAGCTCCATAAAAGAATGGGTGGCGTTACCTTCAAGATATACCTGTGGAAGAACAAGGCCAGCAGTTGAACCAGATCAAAGTGCACATAGCCATCCTTCTTCTCAATCCCAGCAATATTGGGCAAAGCAAGCGGCTCTTCTGCGTAGACCCCACAATAGGCCTTGGTGGTCCAAGGAAAGAATCCAAACTGAGAAAAGTATTTGACCACAACTGTTACCTGGCAAGGGAAGGAAAGGGCACAGTTCTCAAAGATGCTGGATTCCAAAGGCAAAGGGCTGGGAATATGGGAACACAACCCAATTTTATTATGAGAAATCAACCCCCTGCATTTATCCCAATTATTTGACAATTTCATTTTCAGAAAAGTTCGCAGAAATTGTATGAGGCCCAGATAACACGTTCAACATGTGCCCTTGTCAGTGTGGTATAGTGGTTAAGAGGAGTGGACTCGTAATCTGGTGAACCGGGTTCGTGTCCCCGCTCCTCCACATGCAGCTGCTCTCTGAAATCTCTCAGCCTCACTCACCTCACAGAGTGTTTGTTGTGGGGAAGGAAGGGAAAAGGAGATTGTTAGCTGCTTTGAGACTCCCTAGGTTAGTGATAAAGTGGGATATCAATTCCAAACTCCTCCTCCTCTTCTTCTTGCTGGATTCAACTGTGATATATAAATTTCTGCTCTATCTGTTTGACACAGGGCATGCTAGATGCCCTTAAACAAATTTATTTCCCAATGCCTTTAGCAGGGATACAAAAGCCCAAGCACCTGGGTCCCATCAATCAAGGTGCCTAGATTGAGGAAGAGGGTTGGAATAAGGTTTCCCATCCTCCCTTATGTGGCAGAGTGGGTTGCCAGGTTGCCATCCTCTCCTATATATCAGGAATGGGGAACCTCTGACACCAAAAAGGCTGCATTTGCTTCTGGACAACATACCAGTGATGGTAGGGGCTAGTGGGTAGAGCAACAAATGTAAATATTATCTTAGTACAGAGGGCCAGACAGAGATGCTTAGAGAACCACAATTGACCCCCAGAAGCATGGCCTAGCCCCCATTTTTGGTCCCAACCATTGCTGACCTGAATCTCTTGGAAAGTGGACACCAAAGGAAGATGAGCCCGAGGCTCAAAAGGGTTCCTTGCACTGTTCTATAATATCCTTTGTTCCTAGTTGCAACAAGTAGCTCTTCAATGGAAGAAGAGATTGTTAAGTATAATTGTTTAACTGTACATTGAAATGGAAAATGACTCTGTTCCATTGAAATTCCATTGAAGCTAAGAAGAGCTCTCTGAGTGCCTAATGGGTTGATAATTAACTTAGGATGTATATCTGCTACTTTCTTATGTAGTGTTTAACCTTAGATCACATGGTACGGTTATTCAGTTGCAAATCTCCATTATGAAGGAGTGGTCCTTTGTTCTCAGTCACCAGAGAAGAAAGGTGTGCAAATGAGCCTCTGCTGGAGAAAACAGCCTCAGGCTGGAATGCAGGCTAATGGAGTCTATGTCTGGAGAGAAAGACACTTGATTTCAGGTCTGTTTGGAGTAATTTGATATTTTTAAGAAGCTGGACCTGTGCATGTTGAAGCACATGATTTTATGCAACTATTTGCATGTATCATTATTATTTTTGCTCTGTTTGAATAAAGTTGTTTTAGTAAAGCTTTGGAAACATATTTTAGTCTGGACAATTTTTATTTTAAGATGACCTGGTTTTTATTCACCCTATGACTTCAAGCTGCAGAATATTAATATCTGCAATAGGGCTCCCAAGTCAGAGGCTAAAACTTCTAGGAAGACTAGCAGAACAACACACAGATAAGAATATCATTCAGCCATATTAGCAGGCTCTACTGAACACTCACCTCAGTGTAAATGATGGCTGTCATCCAGAAGAATTTTGTAGGCCTTGGAATAGACAGCATGGCCCACAGAAATATCAGGATAGGTAGAACCAAAGTGAGGATGGATGCGGAGACCATGTGGTTTAGAATGATCACAAAATAACACAGCATTTCTGACTTAGACACCATAGCATTGTACAAAGCAACTCCCAGCTTCAGGGGCCTGGGAAGGCTCTGGTAGAACTTATCTGACTGCTCCAGCTCATTGTCATGAAATAACCTGCATGACATAAACAAAACAAAACAAAAAATATGAAATGTAGATTATTTCCATTTGTTGAAAAAGGCATATCCACTGGCTTGTACATTTTAAAACTAGTAGCGCAGTTAGATTAGACTGGGGCAGAATATAAAACAGATTTCCCCAACCTGGGGGTTTGGACTGCAGCTCCACTCAGCTGTCCTGGCTGGGGCTCATAGGAGTTGTACTCCAAAATATCTGATAGCCATCTTCAAATATCTAAAGGGGAATAATATGGAGGATGGAGCAAGTTTGTTTTCTCCTGCTCCGTATGGTAGGACCCAAACCGATGGATTCAAGTAATAAATAATAATAATAATAATAATAATAATAATAATAATAATAATAATAATAATAATAATAATAATTATTATTATTATTATTATTATTATTATTATTATTATTTATACCCCGCCCATCTGGCTGGGCCTCCCCAGCCACTCTGGGCGGCTTCCAACCAAATATTAAAATACAGTAATACATCAAACATTAAAAGCTTCTCTAAACAGAGCTGCCTTCAGATGTCTTCTAAAAGGTTGGTAGTTGTTGTTCTCTCTGACATCTGGTGGGAGGGCGTTCCACAGGGTGGGTGCCACTACCGAGAAGGCCCTCTGCCTGGTTCCCTGTAATTTGGCTTCTCGCAGTGAGGGAACAGCTAGAAGGCCCTCAGCGCTGGACCTCAGCGTCCAGGCAGAATGATGGGGGTGGAGACGCTCCTTCAGATATACTGGATTGAGGCCAGTTACAAGAAAGGAGCTTCTGAATGCACATCAGGAAGAACTTTCTGATGGTAGGAGCTGCTCAACAGTGGATAGGACTCCCTTGGAAGGTGGTGGACTCTCTTTCAGTGGTGGTTTTTAAGCAGAGGTTGGGTGGCCATCCACCATGGATGCTTTAGCCAAGATTCCTGCATAGCAGGGGGTTGGACTGAATGACCCTCGGGGTCCCTTCCAACTCTACGATTCTATGATATCAAAGGCGCCAGGTTGGAGAAGATGGATATAAATTATTCATGAAGGTAAATATATACCTCTTCATTTATCATATTATGTTCGTTCATTGTAGTCATTACATGGCACAAAATATTTAAAAGCTCAAATCCCACATTAACAAGAGAATGCATTAGATAAAGCAAATCACTTATGATCTTGGGAACAGGTTTTGCCCAATCCACATTTTTCGAAGCAATGTCCCCTAACATGAAGTATTTTTGCATGTTATTTTCACTCACACATGCATTTTCATTCATGCTTTCCCCTAGCACACGTATTTGGTTTTTTACACATTACTTGGCTGGAGAACTGCTTTGCACAACCGACGTGAGTTGCAGCTGCATTTCGGTTCGTGAAATGCTTCAGGAAGTGCAAATTAGGCAGGATTCCCTTTTTAAACACAAACTGAGCTGAAATTTCTCCCCCTGTCCCTAGTTGCAAATCTAGCAAAATCTGGATAGCCACAGGTTCCCCATCCCTCCAGTATACTCAATTAGTTGATGCTTAAATGCAATAAGATTCTTGCCTGTTCAGGAGCCATTCACTGGCTGTCATTGTAGCAGGAACATTGCTCGATGGTGGTGCACCTGATTCTTCACCTCTCACAAATAGGGAATGTGTAGATCCTTCCATTACTGATGAAGAGGAGCCCCAGCTGGCAAATTCTGTACAGGAAGATGCTGAAGTGAGCGCTTGGGGGCGGAGCCCATTGTGGCTCCCTTCTTCCACCTTCTCATTTCCAGTCACACCCCTGGAAGCATCGCTGGATCTCCTGCTCCCCAAAGGCAGAAAACATCAACATCCAAGTCAGTAAGGTCCCACCTGCCTTAGACATTTAAAGCACTCTTATACACTTTAAACAGCCATGGCTTCCCTCCTGGAAACTCTGGTTTGTTGAGGGTGCTGAGTGTTGTTAGGAGACCCTAAAGCTATGGTTTTCCCAGTAGTGATGTATGGAAGTGAGAGCTGGACCATGAAGAAGGCTGATCACCGAAGAATCGATGCTTTTGAATTATGGTACTGGAGGAGACTCTTGAGAGTCCCATGGACTGCAAGAAGATCAAACCTATCCATTCTTAAGGAAATCAGCCATGAGTGATCACTGGAAGGACAGATCCTGAAGCTGAAGCTCCAATACTTTGGCCACCTCATGAGAAGAGAAGACTCCCTGGAAAAGACCCTGATGTTGGGAAAGATGGAGGGCACAAGGAGAAGGGGACGACAGAGGACAAGATGGTTGGACAGTGTTCTCAAATCTACACCATGAGTTTGACCAAACTGTGGGATACAGTGAAAAACAGGAGTGCCTGGCGTGCTCTGGTCCATGGGGTCACAAAGAGTCGGACACGACTAAAGGACTAAACAACAACATCCCCCTCACAGAGTTCTAGCCCTCAGAGTTCACAGCTAAAGACTTCTCTCTACACTCTTGCTGAAGAAAGAGAAATGAATAAAGGAAAAGTCACAGCAAGGGAATTTGTTGGGCATTTCCAACTGTCGGCAACAAGTTACTATTCACCTGCGGAGCTGCACAAGGGATGGAACCTCATACTCTCCAGGTGGGCACTGGGGTGACCTGTTGTTGGTCTCATTCATCTCTGTTGTTTCAGCTTCACTTTTTCCATAATCTGGTTGGGTTTTCTCCAGGTTATAATACTGAAGGACAATGTCCGCTGAGGCCACTTTTCCCTTTAAAGAAAAACTAGTTAGTTAGTGTAATGTTTTCTAGGGGTTGCACGTGCCCAAGCAGGCAACTATCTCCCTGGCTGGGTGCAAACACCTGGCTGGGCTGCCAAAGTAAACCTTATCTGTCCGAACCGCCACTCACCCGTCGCTGACTCAGTCGCTGGCAGAATCCATGAGTGGGCGTTTCTTAAACTTCTTCCAGCAAAGAAGCTCTTTGACGCCCAGTCTCCGCCTACTCTCTCTGCGCGGGAGCTTTCTGCGCAGAGAGGGCATGGGCAACGGAGGACCCCTACTCTCCCCGCTGGTCCCAGGCAAGGAGTCATGGGACTGCCTCACCACTTCAGCCTCCTGCCCCCCCCCTCTCCACTGGTGCTACGCTGATTTCCTTCCCCAGAAGATGGGCTGCTTCTCTCAATCCCTGGACGCTCTCTATGATCCCTCTGGCTTTTGCTCTCTCCCTCCAGCACTGATGGCAGTTCCCTGACAGTTAGTTAGGGCTTACCCATTCTTCCTCTTGCCCTGCTGTTTCACCTGGGGAAAACTGCTCTTTAGAGCTCATTCAGAGCAAACAGCAATTCAGGTTTTGCATAAAGACTTTGGGTTTTAGAAAGACTTTGGATAGTAGCCAACACTGCTGTTCCGCTAACACAGTTCACTTCTGCTTGCACAATGGAATTTCCCTCTCCCCGTGCACACACACACAAAATCTGCTCCAGAGGAAGTCCTGTTGCACGAGCAGGATTCAGCATGTGAAGCACTGGAGACATAGGAGTCAACTTCAGTCCCCCCCCCAATAAGATTTGAGAGGGCCAGGGGCCTGCAAAGTTGATGGGCATTACCATTCAAATGGTGTGTGTGTGTGTGTGTGTGTGTGTGTGTGTGTGTAGTGTTATGTGATCGATGATGTGGGGAGGGGCTTACCTGGGCCCCCGCTGGTACCCCTGATTTGCACCCCTGATTGGATACAACACTCTGTAAAAGCTGTTACTATATTCTGAATTGTTTGCTTTGGAGATTTCAGTTCTTCAGAGGACATTCCAACCAGACCCTGGAAGCTGAGAAACTAATTCAGTGGGTGGGACTTAAGGGTGCTGTCCAGAATCTGTATGCTGTACTCTTCCAACTTGATCTGCTACTGCTTGCTTTTCTAAACTGGGAAACAGTGTCAAGGTCTGGAGAGCTTACCTTCTGAATCTCCCGCCAAATCATGCATTTTTCTATCCTCAGCACATTTGCTACATCCAGGTTATCTTTACAAAGCGAATTCAGTGCCTCTGTGGTGTCATCCAGCAACGCTTGGATAAAAACCCAAGTGAACTTAACAATGTTGGTTGCTCTTTGAAGGATGCTTTCTGCTGAGAAGAGAAAGCACATGTAAGAATCACCAAGAGCCTTGACGCAACCCAAAATATCTTTTGTACGCCTGAAACTTCACCCCCATTTTCTGCATCAACTGCAGCATCTGAAGTTCTCCCAAGATTGGAGATGGCTTGTTTGGCGGTGCAAATTCTTTGTTTTATTTTTTTACTTGGAGAAATCTCTACTCTTCCTCATGTCACAGATGAAAATGAAGAGTTTGGATTTGATATCCCGCTTTATCACTACCCGAAGGAGTCTCAAAGCGGCTAACATTCTCCTTTCCCTTCCTCCTCCACAACAAACACTCTGTGAGGTGAGTGGGGCTGAGAGACTTCAGAGAAGTGTGACTAGACAACTTTCTAACAATTCTATTCCCTCATACCAATGATTGCTATCTGAGTCTCATCCCATCTCTGCCTTCTTTCAGATGTCTTCTGAAAACAGTACTGTTTAGACAGGACTTTGCAATATTATGTTTTCTTCCTTTTTAACCAACCAGTATTTACTGATGTTTTGTTTTTATTTAAATTAAAATGCAAAATCAAGCTTAGAACAAAATCATCACAGAAAACAGGTAAGAAATATAAAGGCAAAGGGGGCAGGCAGAGACATTAGCAATACATTCCAGACTTCAGGTATAATGGAAATTATAACAAGTCTGTATAAATAAAAACACCACAAACAGAGATATGCCTTGTTTTCGAAGGGAATCAGCTGCATTTCCAGTTTTTGAAGGTCTGCATGCATTGCTATTTAATTGTATTATAAAGAGAAGGGATTTTCCTCAGAGCCACAGGTGAGGAAAGAGTTACATTTCCCCTCCACGTTTGCAGGAATCCTGATAATTATCAATACTTATACACATGTGCATGAACAGATGCTCTTTATCGCTGAGCTACAGACCCCGACGAAAGTTGTCATCAACCGAAAAACACTGGGCATTTTACAAGAACCGTTTGATTAAGAGTAATTGCCAGTACCATATTGAGGCTCTGACTCTTCCTTTCCTTCCTCAGCAATAGCACGCCAAATATTTCCTAGGTAGATATGCAGAGGAATTAATCACCTGGCTCATCCAAGTCCTCTTCTGGGGCTGACTTCTCCAGATTTTCTTCCCAGGATTCCATTTTCCTGTTGGCTGAAGCACAGCAGAACAACACTTTGGAAGAGCATCCCAGAATTGTGAACCCAACCCCACGCCTGCCGTGGTGTGTGACACAGAAATTCCAGTTTTTGCCATTGGAAATTTACTGAGAAAGATGCAAGGGGGAGAGGAATCTAGCTTTCCACGTGCAGGAATTTTTTAAAAGTGTGGAAACATAAAAAAATGTGACACACACACCCCTCCAGTCTGAAGTTGTAAAGCCCAGGCGAGACTGTACCTCATGTTTAGGGTATCCGCCTGTCATTATTATAACACATACCGTATTTTTTGCTCTATAGGACTCACTTTTCCCCTCCTAAAAAGTAAGGGGAAATGTGTGCGCGCCTTATGGAGCGAATGCAGGCTGTGCAGCTATCCCAGAAGCCAGAACAGCAAGAGGGATCGCTGCTTTCACTGCGCAGCGATCCCTCTTGCTGTTCTGGCTTCTGAGATTCAGAATATTTTTTTTCTTGTTTTCCTCCTCCAAAAACTATGTGCGTCTTGTGGTCTGGTGCGTCTTATAGAGCGAAAAATACGGGTATTTATTTGTATACTGCTAAATTGCCAAGGTGGCTTCTAAAGTGGTTTACAAGTATCATTTCCACTACCTGCCAATTGGCGCTGCTGCTGCTGCTGCTGCTCCTTCCCTTGGTCCCTGATTTCATCCAGCTCCCTCATCTTTAGAGCTGACTTTGAACTGGTCATCCAGGCTTCATAGGCAAGCTGCGAAAAAGTGAAGCTTGTTATTCAACAGTTCTTTAGGGTGGGAGTGAGGCAAGGGGAGAGGCCATCAAACTACATCATTTCTGCCTGGATTAAACTTTGAGGTAGAAATCTAGGACAGGAGCACCTGCAGTCGCCACGGTGGTCTATGGCACCTTCCCTGCATCCCCTTCAAAGATCCAAAATGCAGAACAGACAAATCTTTGCTCTTCCTCCTCGGTTCCTGTTTGCCCTGGTCCAGTCTCTCCTACATTGCCCAGTCTCTCCTATGTTGACCATGCTTTGCTGAGCAGAGCAGAGGTGCAAAGAGTTTCTGTCTGGTACCGAGTGCATATAATAAAATACTAGGCGCAATGAAGTCCTAATCTTAATTAGGCCGTCTTTGGCATAGTGAAGGGATTGCAGATGCCAGGACGGCTACAATATTCAACACTTTTTGCATTTATTTCTCCCGCACACCCCTTCTACCCCCCCCCCCCGCATTTTGTGTAACACCTGACTAATGAGCAGTTCTGGGCCGCCAACAAGCTTGCCAATAATTTTGTGTTGCACTCAGCTTTGATTGGGTGGGTGGGGGGGTGTGTTCTGGAATAAATGGGACTACCTTTGCTTTTTATGAATGAATTTCATCCTCACAGTCCACACTTCCTATTGGCAGGATGATTCCCTTTGCCCTTATTCCCGAAGTTCTGTCTCCCCGCCCCCAACCCAGCTCTTTTTGCTCTTCTGGAAGAATCACCACACACCTGGAATGCTGTTTTCTTCTTCAGAGATTCCTTTTCACTCTTTTCAGTGGGCCCCTGTTCCTCTTCTTCCTCACTATCTGTCTCAAAGAGGTAATAGCTCCCACTTCGAACCACTGAAATTTGATGCAGGAAGCAGACACAACTGAGAACTTGAAAAGTCTTGTGGAACTCTATGCCACCACACATCCATTTCATACTTGCCACCGTGCATCAATTCACCCCCCTAGTTTCAAACCTACCTACCCTTGGTTTCATACTTATTCCATAAAATTTGTGCACTGCTTGAGTGCTTTTAAAAGTTTCATAGTGGTTTTTCTTTTCTTTGCAGCCACTAAAACATATTAGAACTTCCTCTTCCACCCAGCCTACTGCGCCAAGAAGATGACAGAAGTCCACACCTCAACCATCTGAGTGTGAGTTCAAAGATGTTAATGGGTAACTATTGCACTGCAGAACCACCACTGTGCAGGTCAGAGGACCTTTCAGAACAGTTCTAAGACCTTCCCTGCTGGTACTGACCTTTGGGGTTGAAGAATAATGGGGAAATGTCAATACATGTCGACATGTTGACTTTAATTTAATTTAATCTGTAGCTGCATGTCAATCTCTGGGATGCAATGGCCTACATATGGAACTGACTGCGACAAGATGTAATGCTGGTCACTGGTTCTAACAGGGGAGTAGACCCATTAATAGAAGAAAGGTCTATTGGCCATTTTTAACCAAGAGAGCTAAATGGAATCTTCAGGTTCAAAGGCAGTATATCTTTGAATGTTAGCTACTGGGGGAACCCTGTAGGTTTTGCATGCTGCTTACATAAATAAATAAATCTGATTCCCAGCTAATCAGCATTTTCTTCTTGATCAAGCCAACGTCGTTCTGATCTAACCCATTAAATATTAGGATTTTGCAATCCCTGGAGTAGTCAACGAAGCAACGTACATCCTGGATGGGGAAGTTATAGCCTCTCGGGTGTTGTTGGACTCCACCTCCCATCATTCCCAGCCAGCATGACCAATGATCAGGGATGAATGGAGTTGTAGCCCAATGACATTCGAAGGACCACAGGTTCTCCAACCCTGGGGTAAAATATTGGCCAAACGGTGATTTTTGAATAGAAAACTTGAGCTGCAAGGGGACAAGGTGTCACACTAAGGGAGCCATTGTAAACACAGGAGATTTACTTGAAGTGTGAGTGACCCAGGGTTGCCACCATGTCTTCTTGCCTTCATTTTCCTTCTTGTTAGCATCATCCTCTGCAAAAGAAACCTACTCAATAAAATGTTCCCATGGACAGGCAGTTAAAGCATGCCCTGCAACCCCACACATGATTCATGAAGAGAAGGCAACATAAGAGGTCTGCCTCCAGCATTTCTGAAAAGAGATCAAACTCAAGAAAGGAAATCCTCCTTTCTGTATAGTTTCTAAGCCACTTGATTACAAAGACAGACTTCAAAGTGTGTGGGCAACTGCAGAAGGCAGAAGGGGCTCCATAAAATTTCCTTCATTGACCTCCTTCCATAGCTCATTGCCTCTACTTAAGACTAGCCAATAAACAACACATTATGCAAACTTTTGTTGCTTCTGGACTGCCACTGTTTTGGGGTGTGGCTCAATCACACATACCAGCAAATTTAGGTCGTGCAATTAAAGTGGAATTGGAGCTCTTGTACCATGACCTGAACCCTGCCCCTCTCCCCCCCCCAAAAAAATGGACTTTCTGCAATGAGGAAAGTGATGAGAAAATGCACTGGAAACCATTAAGCAGCCATTTATCATTTTCTAATAAGTTACATTGCAAGATACATGGCATTTAAAAACAAAACAAATGTTTTCCACCTGAATCCTCTGCTTTTTCAGACTCTTGCACAGCTTCTGGTCCCCATTTCGCCAAGGTGGTGAGATTTTTCTTTGGTTTGATCAGCTCCAGCCTATAAATTCCCCACAGAAAAACAAACACTGCCTTTGCTTTTAGTCCTCTGCAATTCATTCACAGAGCTTGCTTCCGGACACAGTAGCAAGCAGACATTCTCACATGCTACACCCTGAATGGTGCTTACTATGTAATAAGATCAAGACTTGCCTATTACTTGGGGGCATGGCATTTATTAAAGAAGAGATCACCAGCTCCCATCCAGCACCTTTAAGTGCCCTTCATCTCTTTCACAGAGATAATGAAGCAACACAGGTGGAGGGATTTTTTTTTTAAAAAAACAAACAACTCTTGTGACCAGCATTATGACCCACAGAGACCAGAAGCAGGGCCCATATATCCAGAACTGCAAGGAATTCATATCACTGATAAATGTGTACCTTCCCAGAGATGCCCTGAGCATCTAAGTTCATACTACACACAGACCACGCTGCAAGTCAGCATCAGTCAATTTCAGTATCTGTCCAAAATGCTGTGCTTTTTAAGTACTATTCAACCATCTCTCTGTTTCACTAGCTCATTTTAATACTCAGACTTTTAGAGTTTAATACTCAGAATTTTAGAGGTTCAGAAAAGAAACAGAAATACGTTGCAGTTGCCTTTCCAACCACTTCTGAGTCAATTGTTATACAGTTCTGTAAATAAATGTTGAGGTTGCAAGACTTACTGCTTCTTCATGGTTTGCATTGATTTTCTCTCTTCTTCCATCCTGAGTTCCACCACCTTTTTAAGCTTTACTTCAAACAGCTGAGCTCCTCTGCATGTATGAGACAATTTCGAAACCATCTTATCTACCTTATAAGTCACATTTGGATGCAAACTGGTAAGAAAAGCCAACTTCATGTTTCTTATTTCTGAAGGATGAAATCTAATGTTACTTTCCTAGCATGGGAGCTATTCTTCAATGGTAGAAACCCACACTGCTCTAGAAACCCATGTAAGAAAGGAATCATGCGGTTTTGACAACCAATATGGTTGAGAGAGATGCAACCCCATCAGTTGCCTAACATGTCTGATTGCTTCCTACCGAAGTCATGTTGTTTAAGTGGCATAGGATCTAGGCACAAGGAGGCCACAAATCACACTATTCCAGTAGCTTATGAGAAAGGCTTACATCTCACAGCAAAGGAGCAATCTAGGTCAACTGACTCTTCAACAGCCCAGTTCCACCCAGATGGCTTATTCATCCTACCAACTTGGTTGTGCGAATTGGTCTTCAGTCTGTAGCATTGATTCCATCTCCTATCTCAATAACAATCTGCAATCTTGTTCGGACTTCATACATCTTTGCCACATACCTGAAGGCCAAGGTCTTGGCAGCCTTAAGATCTGCAACAACATAGAGGTAGTAGTAGCTAGTAAAAATTCTACGCTGGATTAGCAGGAAAGTGAAACATATCGCATCCCAGGTTATTCCCGCTTCCTTCTCAGGCAGTTCGCATATTTCATCCTCAGGTGGGTCTAGATAAGAGGAAAACACACAACATATTCTCCAGGTGACCAGGATGTGAGTGGTTCATGCAGTTTCCTTATTGTTCTAATTATGCTATTCAATGTGGAGGCCAGGGACGAGCCTTCGATTTTGTAGGAATGACAAAACATGGTCAGCAACTGCTGGGAAAGAAGCAAATTGTAGCTTCAATTTCAGATGTTTGTGTCATTGTCCATAGTTGACGTTCACTGATGATCATCAATGGGGAATTTGGCATACAAGCAATGTGGAGCACAGGTCAAGTTGTCTACTTATGCAAGCATCTAATCTGCATTTAAAACACACACCCACACACCCAAAATGAAATGCAGCTATGCATTGAAATCTGCACTTCTCTGAATTTTGCCATGCAGTTCTCTGAGAAAATGATGTGTATAAAAGTACATATATCGGGGAAAGTGTACATAAAAATAAATATATTAATAAAAACAGTCCATTATATTAGAGATAATTGCTTGCAAAAATATGTATATTAGGTAAAAATGCATGCAAAAATCTAAACATTAGCTCACACTTTCATTAAAGCAGGGTGTTAAATGTGTTAGAAAAAGTAGGAGAAATCAGGCAAGAGATGAGGGACATAATATATAACTGTCTTCATGGGAGAAGTTGTGGAGGAGTAATCTAACATGTACAGCTTGTTACACTTTAAGAGAAAACGATATGAAGATGATTTATAGATGGTATATAACAGCAAATAAGTTAGCCAAAATATACAAAACTAAGTCAAGTCTGTGTTGGAAGTGCAAAATGACAGAAGGAACGTTTTTCCATATGTGGTGGACTTGCAAAAAAGCTAAGGACTATTGGGAAATGATATATGATGAGATTTAAAAGATGTTCAAGTTGATGATTCCCAAGAAACCCAAAGCTTTTATTTTTAGGAATTATAGATAATGATGTACCAAAAGAGTTGGTTAATTTATTTATGTACAGTGGTACCTCTGTTTATGAACTTAATCCGTTCCAGAAGTCCGTTATTAAACCGAAAATGTTCTTAAACCAAGGCAAGCTTTCCCTAATGACGCCTCCAACCGCCTTTTTGCCCTTCCACCATTGGGATTCCGTTCGTAGACCGAGGTAAAGTTCGCAAACTGGACACTACTTCCGGTTTTGCGGAGTTCATAAACCAAATAGTTCATAAACAGGGCTGTTCTTAAAGCGAGGTACCACTGTATATAATGACAGCAGAACTAATCCTTTATGCCTAAAGATGGAAAGAAGAAGTGGTTCCAACAAAGGAAGAATGGCTTTTAAAAAGGATGGAGTATGCAGAACTGGCAAGATTAATAGCAAAGATTAGAGACCAAAATGACGAAAAATTCATTGAGGGCCAGAGATGCTTTATTGAGTATTTGAAGAGCTACTACAGCAAGATAAAAACATGGGGTCTTGAAATATTGAGCAACAGCATTAGTGATTAAGATAAATAGGTTAAAATGGGTGTATTGAATAATATATGTGAAATATGCAGCATTCAAGGATAAATATGGAAACCGTGGAAAGGGAGGACGGGAAGTCAATGGATAAAGTAATTTATGGTCTATGTTAAAATCTGTAAAGTAAGTGTGTGTGTGTGTGTGAGAGAGAGAGAGAGAGAGAGAGAGAGCGCACGAGAGAGAGAGAAATAAGATTTTTTTTACAAAAAAGAAAAGGTAGAAGAAAACTGTGTTTCTCATCAAAAGTGTTTGATGTAAGTTGAAATGTCAAAGGACCTCTCTTTCCACATCCTACTTACCTATGTCATATCCCGGTATTGTGCAGAACATACCAAAGGTCTGAATTAGCCAACAATGGCTTGTTTGTAATTTACTAAGGTACGCACATGCTCCAATCTGTGGGCAAAGAGGAAGGGGAAAAGATGACAGTTCGGAGGATTCTAATGCATTCATCTAAGCTCCAGACTGGCCCTTTCAAACCAATACAGTGAGATGATGATGACGACGATGATGATTTATTTCTTGTAGCCCTCCAATCTGGCTGGGTTGCCCCAGCCACTCTGGGCAACTTCCAATGAAGTATAAAAGAACACACCAAAGCATCAAACAATAAAAGACAGTATGAGCAACGTCTCATGTTAAACAGGGGTCATCCTTGTGCATTATTTCCACATCTAAATAAACATGCAGTTGCACTTGTACCCATCCCTAAGGTGGCTTACTGGAGCAACCGAGATCACAGTCTGTTATGGGACAATGACTACAGGTAAGGTGATAATTTTGCTCAACCTCTGCTAGCTTGACAAATACATACGGCAAGGAGGTTCTTCGCGGCTATAACCAAAGCTGTGTACGCGATCAAATAGTCCCACAGTCTGAGTATGTCTTTGACTGGCTTCAACTGGAGGCTTTGCCCAAAACGCATGAAGTAGAAACAGGCCAGGAGGTAGCCCACACAGAAGATGTTGATCCTTGTTGTCCCGGTCATAAAAATCAGGCAAAGGACAAACCAAAAGTGGTATCTGAACAAAATCACTTTCACCAAATCCAGATAAGACCTGAAGGAAACAAGAGATGAGCAAATCACAAATGGCATACCTGTAACACGGGGGCATTTCCAGGTGCCCAATTGGTTGGCGCTCAATGGAACTGATAGGGTAGAAGGTAGGGAGGCTACCACTAGGGGGAGCCAGAGCGAATGGTAGCTGAAGCCAGAACCAATGGTAGGTGGAGCCAACTAACCCTTCTTGTTTTGCCCCCATCCTGCTCCCTGCTGAATTCTGCAAGGGCAACATCAGGAAGAGGAAGCTGACAGCCAGTGCCACCTTCTGGACTGGTTGCAAGTAATTAGGAGCTTGGAAAGCAGAGTTCCACTTGTCCTAATGGACCCGCCTGCACTGCCAGATGGTCACTATTTCAGAGCGGATTGATGGTCCTGTATAAATCCACACTAATGCACTATTATTGCATCAGTGATATGTTGCATAATATACCTGGGGGAAATTATTATTATTATTTGCTTTATGGAGCAATCTCTCTCTCTCTCTCTCTCTCTCTCTCTCTCACACACACACACACACACACACAGAGAGAGAGAGAGAGAGAGAGAGAGAGAGAGAGAGAGCACACAGACTCCTAGGCCCCAAATACAGTTTCTTGCCTGCAGTGGATAAAGTTTGGTACCAGACTGTACTCGCTTAGCCCAGCTGGGTCGAGGCTGTGGCTGATCTCTATGTTGTCTCCCGCCTGCATCCTTACAACCAGCTTATTCTCATCTTCAAACACCTGCCACTGGAGAGAGGCGGCGAGCAGAAGCAGGAAGTCATCTGCAAGCGGGGAGAGAGGAGGCAAGGAAAGAGATTTGATTTATTTGGAATATTTTCTCCCTGCTTTTTAACTGTAAACTTTCTTTCTTTTTTAAAGAAGGTAGAGCAACCAAGGTTTGTTCTTGGCTTACTGCTCATGGTTTGTTTGAAACAAACCATCGCGTGGGTTTGGACGACAGAGCAAACGGTAGCAGTAGCAGCAGCATTAAACAAATTTATGGACCGCTTCATAGGCTTTGTACAGTAGGCTGGTTTCTCCACACAAACACCCGTCTCTCTGTCCTTCATCTGGGCAAGCAAAGGACATTATCAGAGTTCAAGGACAAGCAGGCAAAAACACTCAAAAGGTCTGGAAAGAGGAAGTGTGGCTGAGGAGGGAGTGTGGTGTGGAGAGAGTCCCAAGGACCACACAGAGAACTTTGGAGGGCCACATTTGACAACATGAACCAATGGGCCAGCTCAGTATATAAGGTAAAGGGTAAAGGGACCCCTGACCATTAGGTCCGGTCGTGGCCGACTCTGGGGTTGTGGCGCTCATCTCGCTTTATTGGCCGAATGAGCCGGCGTACAGCTTCCGGGTCATGTGGCCAGCATGACTAAGCCGCTTCTGGTGAACCAGAGCAGCGCACAGAAATGTCGTTTACCTTCCCGCCAGAGTGGTACCTATTTATCTACTCGCACTTTGACATACTTTCGAATTGCTATGTTGGCAGGAGCTGGGACCAAACAATGGGAGCTCACCCCGTCGCGGGGATTCGAACCGCCGACCTTCTGATCAGCAAGCCCTAGGCTCTGTGGTTTAACCCACAGCGCCACCCGCGTCCCAGTTTGCTATTAACCCACCCAGCTTTTCAAGTTTTCCCATGTTACCTGACAAACTATATCATGCCACAATTTAGATGTTTCCTCCTCTGGAAGAAACAGCTATTAACGCCTGTTAAGCAGGTGTCCCATGACTTTACAGATTATACTTACAAAGGAGAAAACTAGCATCCGGCCTCTTGGCAAAGTCGGGCAGATACAGCCACTTAATCAGATTTGAATGGAGCAGCCAGTGAGAGGTTCTCCACGGATAATCTGCCAGTAAAGAGATTATCTGCATTACACAAAGCATCTTAAACTAATTTCCGAGCTTACTGTCTGGGCACATTTGATTCACAGGGAACTGCCAAGAGGCAAAACTTTGGCTAACCAGCAGACGGCATAGTCGCCCTTTGGTTCATCCTAAATTAGACGGCAGCCCCCCCCCTCCAAAGGTACTTGCCCTGCTACCTGCTAGAACACACCGTTCTGCATGTACCTTGGCATAAAACAGGTGGGAGACCAATGCAGAGGAGATACTGGAAGGCTGCGATGCTGGCAAGGAAGCAGCAGTATTTGGGCCAGGCTTCAGCCATGGCTTTCCTCCGCCGGCGGCTCAACAGGTAAATCAGCCAGCTGGCATGGGTGAGGGCATAGAAGTCCATACGCTGCCTAATCACATTGATGGCAACCACAAAGCAGATCTGAAAGAGCAGAAGGGGGGGCGTGTTCAGGAGCACCCCAGGTGTTTTTCATGTGCTTCCTGTGCTCAGAAAGGAAACTGTAATTGGCAAGCTGAAATCCCATACTCTCCAACATTTCTTCAATGAAAATAGGGACATCCTATTTATTTATTTATTTATTTATTTATTTATTTATTTATTTATTTTGATCACAAAAGAATACCTATTTTACAATTACAAATCAACAGAGGCAAACCCTGTGTACATTGAAATAATGAAGACAATAAAATACACCCATGTGACTTCCCTCTACCACAACTCGACTTCTTATGAATTAACGTATATTTTACATTGTGACATTATCCTGTTTGTTATCTATCCATTGTTAGTCTTACTTTTAATTGGTTCATTTTTACATATTTAATCTATGCATATCAACATATTTATCTAGTCCATTATTATTATTATTATTATTATTATTATTATTATTATTATTACTCTGCCCATCCGACTGGGTTTCCCTAGCCCTCTGAGCAGATGTCAGGTGTGTATTAAGTAAAAGTGCCTCTGTGGTGATAGCCGTGGCTGCCAGTTCACCATTTGCACTGTCCAGTTCTCACGAGACTTCCTTCATTTGCATGTGGGCGACACAAACCGCTTTCTCTCCCCGTTCATGAAACTGGGTACATATCAAGCAATGTGAACTAGCTCCAGGAAAAGCTTTGCCCTGCTTGGATCTCAGATGTCGCACTGAAATGTGTCCCTCTCTAAACCAAACCTTTTTGGACCTCCAGCCTCGCTACCCAGCTCCTCTCTTGCTAATCATTTTTTACCTCTAGTCCAAACTTGTAGAAACTGTAATTGGCAAAGTATTTGATGCAACTCAGGAGCCCATCATCCAGATTCTCCCGGGCCATGTCATAAAAAACGCTCCCCGTGGGAGGCAGCACCAGCTGGTTCTGAATTCGGTAAAAAAGCTGGTGGCGATGCACTGTAGCCTCTAGAGCCATAAGAACCAGGATGGTGAGGTGATTCTACAAAATGAAAGAAAGAAGAATGCTTCAGAAGAATGCCCAGGAAACAACAGGAACAATGCCTGCCCCACCCACAGCCAGATTATTCCTTATACCACACTGAATGTGAGTTGGTTGGTGGCTGACAGAAACCAAGGGCCTGGACAAATATCCACTCTACCCAGTAGCAGGGCCGGCCTTCGTATGTATGACTCGCACATAATCAAGTGTTTTTGAAATGACCGTAATATCTAAGTGTTTACTTACCCTAACACGAGTGTTTAAACAAGATCCATACCTTTAGACATGGGAGAACATTGTCACTGCACTTCAATAGCCCGCCAAACCAATGCGCTGGGTCAACAGGGGCCTTGTACAACAATGACTTTTCCAGTAATTCATCCATGTTGGTGTAGTGATAATAAGTCATATTTGACTGAAGCCCCTAAGGAGACAAGCATTTCTAATCAAAGGGCTGCCATATTTCAAAGAGTAAAAACCAGAACACCCTGAAAGATGCTGAACTTTTTAGGAAGACCTCAAGATTGTTGAGCTTTTTTTAAGAAACCCACCAGCACAAACCCCCATTTTGCCAATTTGCCACCATCTTTACACTGGAAAACCAGGAAGTGTCATGAATCCCAAAAGTTGATGGGGTTCCCCCCCCAAAAAAATGCTCCCTAAAAATGTGATTTTTCAGTTGATTTGCCTAAGATCCAGGACAAAGCTCCACCTTTCAGAAATTCCCCCCAGACATCAATTCTGCCTTTGAAATCCTGGTAATGTCTGGGAAAATCTGGCCGTATGGCAGCCCTATCTAAGTGACATCAGCCGATGGGCAGGTGGGTGGGGAATGGCCTTGCGAGCCAAATTGGACCCTCAGGCAGGCCAAGTTTGGCCGTGAGTTGGAGATTCCCCAGCCCTGCTCTAAGGAAATCACCAGCAAGCACAGAAAATTCTTCAGAGGTTTGGGTCCTTGGTACATTAGCAAGCAGACCTGTGTGCAGTTTGAAGAATATGTCAGAGGCTTGACAAATTTCAGCTGGTATGCCATTTTACAGAAGACCATCACGCAGGACCAAAACGTACAGATCCTGGAGGCGTGTGGGCACAACTTGGAATATGGAAGGGCAAATGCCCAGAGGATGAAGAAAGGGTAGTTCATCAAAGACACCTGTGAACCAACGTAAAACGTCAAACACCAATAGAAACCACAACGACTGGAGTCACTTTGCAATAAACATTTTAATACATTGCAGTTATGGAGGAAGTGGGTGCTAACATTTTGCCTGAACAAGGACCAGTAAGGCCATGTATGGATAAGGACACCAAATTCAGATTCCAAAGTGGGTTCAGATGATTTGATCTGAGTGGATCATGACCCAGATCAGATTGTGGGTCTACGTCACAATCCACAGCCATGCACATGCGTTTCAGAGCTGCCTCTGAGAGCTTGCACCAACTCACAAGTACTTTTAAAAAGATCTGTGTGTTTTCACACATATTTCAAAGACTCTGCATGGAAAGGGGTTGGGGCAGACTTGGGCCCATTCCCATGAAGTACTGGGATGGGCCAAACTTTGATGGGCCTGTCCATTCCTTGGTACAGATATATACCTTCAAATTAGGAAGCCCTGTGTCATATGGCACAGCCTCGAAGCTGCCCTCCCAAAACAGGCATCACTGCAAATCACCTGGATGGCATTGGGACAGGGCAGGTTTGTGGCAAGGCCAGGGCTGTGTGGCCCCACTGGCAGGAAACAGAGACCCTTGCCACCAGTACTGCTACCGGCTCCATGGCTTCAGGACCACTAGCACTGCCAAGTCAACACCTGAAGAATCAAGCACCACCCTCTTGCGTGATAAAGGTTTCTCCAGCAGAGGAGCTAAAAACCTGATCTGTCTGCAGCTTAATTAAATTTCAGTTGGCTCCAGACCTTTGCTGGAGCAACATCCTAGCCTGCTGCTCTTGGGTCCAAGCCCAGGAGCTTGTTCCAACTCCATTCAGAGCTGTCCATGGTCCAGACCTCCTTGCCTGGATTTTCACTCTGCTTTCTGGGTCTCCCTGCAGGCTTTGAGTCAAGCATGATAGTTATTAGCTGACCTCGTGTACAGTGATCCAAATAATCCAAGTGGACAGAATCTTCAGGATGTGGAGCTCCAGAAATCGCCAAGCAAACGCCTGCATTGCTCGAATCGTTGCCAAGAGCTTCAGGAGATGAGGCACCACACTGTCAACCACTTCTGTCCATTTGCTCATCTTTTCCACTAAGGAAACAGGAGGGGGGGGGAGAATAACTTTTCAAATAATGGAAAACAATAGACGGAGAAGCGAAGTGTGATTTGCAAAGAGGGAGGAAGAGCATGGCAATCGGCAATAAGGCAGATCTGCTGCTATGGCTTCCCATAATGAGTTTAATCTGGTGAAGGTGATGCTCTCAGTTCCGCTTTAACAATACAAGGACTGGCGGAGGAGCAACCTGGAGCGCATCTATGCTTGCAAGAAGCAGGCTCTATTTACTAGCATAAACCAAAATGGCAGGCTTGTTTCCATGCTTAGTTATACTTTCAGCACAGGAGCTAGCTGTTCATCATTACCCAGTTTCGCCTGGTGGCACTTCCCCATGTTTTCACCTACTGCTGAGTTCTCAGGCTTCTCCAGTCCATCTTCAATGTCATCTTGTAGCTGTTCAGCAGCCAGCCTGTGGAAAACGCAGGAAAACAGCAAAAAGCCACCGTTATCGCATGGCCAGCGTGGCTTTGCTTCTGTTATTGAGTAGGCCTAGATTTTAGCAACACACTGGTCTGGTTCACCCAACACAATGAGCCAAAATATGTCTGGCAAACTATGTGTGGCCTGGTCATAATTTATGCAAGCTTGATGTATGGCTATACCTGAGGATACCAGCCTAACTATAGTAGCTCTAGTTATGCATGAAGAATGAGTTAATGCACTGCTGACTGTGCAAAAAATGGGGGTGTGCACATGAATATGCCTTACAATGTGTACCCCTTCAGTGCAGATAGACTAAAATCCTCTTCGTAAGGCTGCAATCCTAACACCACCCATCCATGGGGCTTTGTGGAGTGGTGGTGACACTGTTGCATTCACAGTCCAGTCGTGGGGGCAGCCAAGGGGGGCAGGACAATTGGGTGCAATTCCGGAGCCAGCTCCAGGATGCCATAGAAATTGGGTCCAGATTGGGCCTGCTGCTGCGAGGCTACATTGGAATCCAGCAGATCCTAGTCCAGCTCAGTCCTGCTCACCTACACATCCAATAGGGCGATAGAGGAAGGACTATGTTACCAAAGCCGGTAGGAGACCCACTTAGTCAGGAGAGTTGAGTGGAGGGCTGCCTCTACTCAGTCTAAACCCCTGACAGCCTAGTGCAAGGAGACCTTGTTTATCTGTGCAAATGTTGATCCAGTATATGCTCTCAATTCACATTCCAACTCCTTTATGGGATTCAGGCAACATGTCATGATCTTCTCTGCATCAAAAGACTTTGAAGGTCAAACAAACTCAAATACATTTCTATTTGCCGCGTCCCTCTTTTCAAGCTTACCTACTTTGCAGCTTCAGGATGTGTTCCTTAAGCCTGAAAATACGGGGGACAAAAAAACAGTATCAAGAATTGCATTATTAACCCGAAAGACTTGAAACTGGATGGGCGGGGAGTCAGAAGAACCCACAGAACAGTGCACAGATTCCATCTGGTAGGGCTGAAATGCTCGTGCAGAAGGAACAATTGGAAGAGTGCAGTCTTGAATTCCTCCTCTTCAGTTTTGGAACGATAAATAATAAGCCACTGCACAACTATGTGGTGTTTTTAATTTATTGTAATCTTATAAAATTATTTGTGAGCATTCCCGTTTTGTACAATGATAATACTAAACTATAATACAGTGGTACCTCAGGTTACATACGCTTCAGGTTGCAGACTCCGCTAACCCAGAAATAGTGCCCCGGTTTAAGAACTTTGCTTCAGGATGAGAACAGAAATCGTGCAGCAGCAGCGCAGCGGCAGCGGGAGGCCCCATTAGCTAAAGTGGTGCTTCAGGTTAAGAACAGTTTCAGGTTAAGTACAGACCTCCGAAACAAATTAAGTACTTAACCTGAGGTACCACTGTATTTCTTTTATAAAAACAACAACTTCACCTGCCTTGGGTACTATAGACCATGACATTGGGTAGGGAGAAGGGCATCTGCTGTCATCTCATATAGGGCCAGCCCAGCTGTTTCCTACTTATGAATGCAAATGTTCCCATCAAGCCCAGCCAGTTTGGTCAACAAATAAAAAAGGAGCATCGCTGGCAGTCCCAAGATAGCCTAAGAGCATCATCCTGGCTGGATTGTTCCAGGAAATGTTTTCCAATTAATACAGCCAAAAAGATTCTCAGGAACTTTGTTCAAAGTTCTTCTTACTAATTTTCCAAGTGGTAAATAATTTCCGGTCTATAGGCTTTGCAATGTCTTGGCTTTGTGAAAACAATGAGCAAACAACAGGCTGTTCAAGTAGTCTAGAATTCTCCTGGGACTGGCATTTGCCAGCATATCTACCTGGGTGGCTGACAGTGAGACTATGGTGGAATCTAGACACATATAAAAAACGTTGTGAAAACGCTTTTGAAAAATACATTGAATTTGCCATAGCTCACCATCGCCATCTTATGTCACATTTGTACAAATGCACTTTACAACACACCTAAAGCATTTTATTTGCAGCTGCATAGCTGAGTCCCATGTGATTTCACCCAGCCAGCCTATAATGGGATAACAGACAGTTATCACAGAATAAGTGTTGGGGCAGAAGACTCGTGGAATAAATTCTTCAAAATAGTAGTGGTTTGGGGAAATGGAATCCTAACCAGGATCAATTGAGAAATCACACCAGATCACACTTAGGTTTTCCCTAATGGAGCAAATAGTGTTAGGGGAGGAGATTTTCACTGAGGGCCAGTGAGCCTTCTTGGTGTCCCAGTCTGATCTGTACTGGGGCTCCCCCACAGCTGATGTTTGCCAAAATTTAAGGAGATGGTAAATTAGAAATCTTAGTTATTTCATTCAGATTGTTCCCCTGTTTTCTGCTCTTTCCTTCCTCATAATTGCCCCCTTACATACAAAATTTCAGCTGTCCACTATTTGATGTTCTTTAATCTCCTTGCTGTATTCAGCTTCACCCTGCCCCCCTTTATATTAGACATATGAAGCAGATTACAAGGGAAAGCATTAAAAAGATTAACGAGAGAAAGCCAACTCACATATTAGCCAGGAAATGCACACGCGTCTCAGTGTTGCTGTCACTGGGGAGAAACAGAACACAGCCTCAATACTTCACTCCAGCTGCTGCAGGCTAGCACTACACGACTGAAGAGTATTTTGCTTTTTAAACAAAAAATGTTCTCGGTCTCACCATCAGTATCATAGGAATATTAGACCTCACTCTACCTAAGTGCCGTGACAATGAATTAAAAACAAAATAAGATGCTGTACGTAGTACTCCAGATGTGCTCTGGCCAGCGCAAAATAGAGTGGAATTATTGCTTTTCGTGGTCATTTAAATCACATTCAATGCACATTTAAAGCATGTGACTTCTCCCAAAGAATCATGGGAACTGTAGTTCATTAAGGGTACTGAGGGCTGTAGCTCTGTAGGGGTAAACTACAGTTCCCAAGATTCTCTGGGGGAAAGCCATGTGCTTTAAATATCTGGTGCAGATGTCGCCTACATGTTCCTTGGTGGTGGATGGGACACACACACTGTTATGTACTGAGTTGAATGGGATCCAAAAGGCAGCAGTCTGATTGGTCCTAGAACAATAGGATTCAGAATGCAGCAGTCTGATTGGTCCTGGAACAATGTAGCAGTATGATTGGTCCGCAGGAGCCACCCAATCCAGCTCCAGGTGGAAGTGAATCCGCAACCTGATTGGCCTACAGGAGAATCCCAGAATTAGCCAATCATGTGTGGCCCATTGTGTAAATAATGTATATAAAGCAGATATTTTGGGGAAACCTCCATTCCTCACTACTATGAGCTGAATAAAGAGCATGAAATCCACACTCGACTCAGAGTATATTACACACACACATTTCCAAATGTAAGCTGCACAATCACACTATCACACACACAAATGCACAATTATCTGTCATTGTAGAACATGAACTCATGGATCATGCATAGCACCTTCCGGAAAGTGGCCTGGTGCAAATATTAGCCAGATCTGTGGCCTTCAGGAAGTCTTCATGGAAGTAATGAAGCTGCAAGATGCAAGCCAGAAGGAAAGCGCCAGGGAGCAGAATCCGTGCAAACAGCTCAATTGTGCTGAACCGCTCAAGACCCAGGTCTTTTAATCTGTCAAGGGGAAAGGAGAGAGATCCACCCATCACAACCCACTGGGAGGTAATTCACACAATAGGTTCTCCATGTTAAGAAGGCAATGACTTCGATTCTGCCCTGTGTTTGTTCCATGCGACGCTGTTTCCGTTCTGCCGCAATTTGGCTTCTGGCAAAAACTATGTTATTTGTCTCACTGCCTGCTGAGGTGGAATTTTACGTAATCAAATTTTGCAATTAATTGCAGTATCATTACCTTAAAAGTAAAGGTAAAGGGACCCCTGACCATTAGGTCCAGTCGTGGCCAACTCTGGGGTTGCAGCGCTCATCTCGCTTTATTGGCCGAAGGAGCCAACGTACAGCTTCCGGGTCATGTGGCCAGCATGACTAAGCCGCTTCTGGTGAACCAGAGCAGCACACAGAAATGCCATTTACCTTCCTGCCGGAGCGGTACCTATTTATCTACTTGCACTTTGACGTGATTTCAAACTCCTAGGTTGGCAGGAGCAGGGACCGAGCAACGGGAGCTCACCCCGTCACAGGGATTTGAACCGCCGACCTTCTGATTGGCAAGTCCTAGGCTCTGTGGTTCAACCCACAGCGCCACCCGTTCCCTTTGTCATTACCTTACCCCACACCATTAATTTCAATGTTGGGGCTGTTTGTTTCAATGCAAGTGAAATACAGCGCAGGGAGGGGGAAATGACATCACTTATGTAGCGCTTTTGAATTATGGTGCTGGAGGAGACTCTTGAGAGTCCCATGGACTGCAAGAAGATCAAACCTCTCCATTCTGAAGGAAATCAGCCCTGAGTGCTCACTGGAAGGACAGATCCTGAAGCTGAGGCTCCAATACTTTGGCCACCTCATGAGAAGAGAAGACTCCCTGGAAAAGACCCTGATGTTGGGAAAGATGGAGGGCACAAGGAGAAGGGGACGACAGAGGACGAGATGGCTGGACAGTGTTCTCGAAGCTACAAACATGAGTCTGACCAAACTGCGGGAGGCAGTGGAAGACAGGAGTGCCTGGCATGCTCTGGTCCATGGGGTCACGAAGAGTCGGACACGACTAAACGACTAAACAACAACAAATGTAGCGCTTGCAGAATAAAATTAGCAACAACAGTGAATAATAATTGCATTCCCTGGATTGATTTCCATTCTGGACATGGAATGAATAAGTGAACACCAGCAATTTCTTCTCCTGTTTCCATGTCTTTCAGCATTTTCCCTTCTCAAGCCACCCAATCATTCCAGTGAGATCCACCTAGTGCCACCATTGTCATCCTTTTGGTGCCAGGTAAAAACGTATTTCTTCTGCAAGGCATTTGACATTTTATGATGATACACTGGACAATACGATTTTGCAGCTGTTTTATTGGGTCTGTTTTATGGATATTGCAAAACATTGTTCTTTTTTCTTTCCTTTTCAATTCTACGCCATGCTTTACATTTCAAAGTTTTGTAAGTTGCTTAGAAACACAGTTGCATAGCAAGCGACTAATAAATTGAATAACTGATATAATCATTAATAATAATAATAATATTTCAGTCCCTGTTCTTTCATTTCCCCAGCATACAATAATCACTAGTTTAGATGTGAGGGGTTCCCCCACCCCCTTTCCATTAGGAATAGTTCTAGTGCTCTGGTACTCCACAGATAAATAATGTTTGATATGGCAAATTCTGAAAATTATGGTCAAATTGCACAGCTCACAATCCAAGGTCTCTGCGGGCAATTTTTGTGTGTGTTCCCTGGTATTTTAAGTCCCTCTCTCTCACACACAGACATACATCCATGCGGATTAGATCCTGTGGCAGAGGTAGCACCAAAATGACCCAATTTGGTTGCCCAACCCATGCTACCTAGTTCATCCTTCCTCCTGAGAAAGAGACAGGTTCAGCCAACAGGGGACAGAATTAACCCTCTTATAAAGAGCCAGAAAGAGAGCTCTTTAGGCAGATAACGCCAGGGAAGAACATCAGAGTCACAGCAAGCTGGCAGCGCTAACTTAATTCAACAGCAGCAAAAAAACTACATTGTAAATTTTTTTTTTTTACTATTGTGCAATAGACCAGAGATTCTATAACGAATTTCAAGATAAAATTTGAATTAGAATATTTTAAATGAGAGCCAGTGTGGTGGTGCTTTTACCGTGTCAGAAACAAAAGACTTGGAAACCCAGCTTCGAATCCCCAGTCAGCCTCGGAGATCACAGTAAATAAATAAAACAAAGCCCTTACCTCTCCTCTGATATCGCCAAGGTGTTTAGGAAAAACGCTGACACCATCTCAAATTGATATGCATAGATAGCAATGAGTACCACCATTGAATAAAAAACAGTGGTGAGCCAGAAACTCTTCAGGATTCTTCTCCACATCTCATAATGAACCTGAAACCACATTTCCACATAACCTTAGTACTGGTTCTGAACACAGTATGGTGGGCATTTTAGAAATGTATAACAGGGGTGGGCTGGGCAAGTCAACCTGAACTGCAAAGCACTCAGTGTTCCTCCGCCCCATTCTGAAAACAAAATTCGACCCCAAACCACAGAAAGTCCTGAAAACATCATAATTATCTGGGCCAAATGGATGAAAGTGGGTATCTTGTAGTGGTCTTGTAGTAAGGTTAAATCTTACTGGGAAATGATATATAATGAATTGAAAAAGATGTTTAAAATAATGTGTGTATGCATATGCACACACACACACACACAGTGGAACCTCGGGTTAAGAACTTAATTCATTCCAGAGGTCCGTTCTTAACCTGAGACACTACTTTAGCTAATGGGGCCTCCTGCTGCCACCACGTGATTTCTGTTCTCATCCTGAAGCAAAGTTTTTCACCCAAGGTACTATTTCTGGGTTAGCAGAGTCTGTAACCTGAAGCATCTGTAACCCGAGGTACCACTGTATATATATGTGTGTGTGTTTTGTGTGTGTGTAAACACACACACACACACACATATATACATACATACACACACCACCAGAAGCTTTCCTTTTGGGAATTATAGGGACAGAACTACCCAAACTATATAGAAATTCATTCATGTATGCAACTACAGCGGCAAGAATGTTACTTGCCCAAAAATGGAAAGAAGAAAGGAATATGCAGAAATGCAGAAAGGAACTTACCAGAAAAATAAGAAAACAAGATAACAAACTTTTTATAAAAGAATGGAAATGGTTTATTTAATATTTACAAATAAACTGTAAACAGATAAGAACATTGGCAGGATTATTCTAATAACCTGCAGTTTTATATGAGTATATATTTAAAGTAGATGAATAACTGAGTAAGTTAAGTTAATTTGGAATATGCAGAAAATATAAAAAATGAATTTAAGGAACTGCAGAAAGAGGGGAAGGAAGTCAAGTTTCGAAATGTTAAAATGATTGTACTATTATTGAAATGTACAAAATTGTAAATCATAAAGAAAGAAAGTGGGTATCTTTATCCCAGTCTGCATCCGTATTGGAACTATGTTTAAACTGTTCAGAGAGAGAGAGAGTTCATAGAATTATAGCTGGAAGGTACCCTGGGGGTCATCTAGTCCAACCCCAGGAGGTTGCCCACAAGTGCATGCAGACTCCATGCTGGAAAAGGCTCCCTACTCCTGCTTCAAGTTCTGTGAAGCACTGTATTCCACGAACAGCCTAAACTAACTAAACTGACAGCTGACAGGTAACAAAGAGCTCATAAACCGCTGCTGCAATTTTCTAATAGGAAAAAGCAGGAGTGCAATTGCTTCCGGTCTCCAGCTTTGCTTACCTGGTACAAAGCCACACAAAGCAGAAAAAGCACAATGTAAAGAATTTTGTACAGGGCCACTTTGCCATTGAAGCTGACAATAAAGAACATGACAGAGCAGATGTAAATCCAGTATTTTACAAGCATCCCCTGCAGCGCAGAACCAAGGATGCCCAAAAGAAGGTTTTGCGGATTGTCCGTTTCTGCAAGAGAAGTGGAGAATATGCGGAAGCGTCATCAATATCGTCGAATCGTTCACAAGTATGCTCTAAAATAAAACCACTCCTCTCCCTCAAAAAACTGTTTTTCTTTCTCACTTATTATGCTTGCCTGTCACCTTCAAGGTTGCAACTCAAGAGGAATGCTCAACAAACATGGTGTCAGGAATCGTCCAGTACTTAGAAGCAGACAAAACCCTTGTTTCCTTATTAAGCGCCTTTGCTGCCTATTTGCTCTTCTGAACTAATTTTCCTGGGGTTGCCCCTGGACTGAATACAGATGGTAAAACCCACCTTTAGAAATACATATTAATAACAGTAGTAGTTCAGGGCTAACTTTACTAAGTATTAAATTTTCTTACCAGCCGCCCCATCTACTCTCACTCCCTTGAGCGATTCTTCCTCCTCTTTTCTCTGCCTTTGCTTCTGCATCATCCATTGCTTTAGCAACAGCCAGAAGGTAAACAGATATAAAATCTGTAATAAAAATCACACAGACATTTTAATAACAACAACAACAACCAACACCACCCCACACAACTGAGCCAACTCTAGACAGCTTAATGGAATTCTTTTATTGCATAGTTTTATCATGGATGTTCCTATTTTAATGCTGTCAATGGGATTGCTTTATTGCCTACTTCAATTATGGATGTCTACATTTTAACACTTGTGTCGTCGTCCTCCGTCCGGCAACGCAAAAGGGTGAGCGGGCTTGTAAACCACTCAGTATAACAGGCATACTGTATACAGTGGTACCTCAGCTTATGAACTTAATCCATTCCAGAAGTCTGTTCTTAAACTGAAACCGTTCTTAAACTGAGGCGCGCTTTCCCTAAAGAGGCCTCCCACTGCCGGTGACCATCCACTGTTCGGATTTGGTTCTTAGACCAAGGTAAAGTTCGCAAACCAGGACACTACTTCCGGTTTTGCGGAGTTTGTAAACTGAATAGTTCGTAAACAGGACTGTTCTTAAACCGAGGTGTTGGGAAACTGTGTACGTGCAGCTACTCACACAGAGTCAGTTAAGGTTTGGCAGACAGCCAGAAGGCAATCTGAAGGAGTAAGTCTGCCTGGTGATAACAGAGACATGGAGACCACTCCCTGATTGGTCAAGTTCTCTCAAGGGAGTGATAATTAATGGGCTACTAACTGGAATTTAGTTAGTTCAGTGTTAGTTCAGTGTTTGTGTTCAGAGTTCTGTGAGTCAGTGTAGGAGTTGTGAGTCGTGGCAGAGAGCTAGCAAAAGATCCGTGTTCTGTTCCTGTAAATAGTCCACTGTATATAATAAACACCTAACTACAAGTTCCTGGTTCCTGCTTTGTCTATCCTGTCTGCAGCCAAGTTGCCAATTGCTTCCGTGGATTCTGCATTTACTCTGCTAGGTCTGGCTAAGGTCCTGCAACTAGTCGGAAAGTTGCGAAACACCAAATAGGTTTTGCCAATAGGCAATAGGATCACAACCACTGTACATTAATTAATGAATAGATCAGCAATGATCTGCACAACTTTCCAAAGTCCCATACACGCAGCTACAACCTCATGCAATTCAATTCTCAAATCTTTTTTGGCATATAGGCAAGATTCCTATAAGGTTCGGTACAATAAAATCGCTCAGCAAAATCTGCATCTAACACTAAGTTAATGTTGCATAACATTCTCAAATCCTCATGGTGTGTTGCAGATACCTGGCTACTATCTCCATCTTATCCCCGTCCTGACTTATTGCCTGGCACGTGTGCTTAGGATTGCAGCCTGAAAGTAGAACGCAGAACTGAAGGAAGCTCACCTTGACTCCTAGGTGGACACAGGGCAGTGAATAAGGCTTCAAATCCAAGTCCACGAGCAACGAGGCTGAAACTCCAGGAAACAGTTCCTCCTGGGAAACGTGTAGGCCTGCAAAGAAATTGAGGACCACCAAGACATTTCCATAGGCAACAAGGAAAGGCGAGCTCCTCAAGGCGTAGAGGCGACGGTTGCGCAACATCCAAATGACACAAGACCAAATCAGCAGAACAAAAGTCAGCCAGCTGACATAAGTGATGCTCCAAACCTGGAAATGCATACATAAGATAGACAGACAGATGGATGCACACAGAGAGACATATATTTTGGGTAACACCACAGTCCCAAACATCATATAATCCACAACTGAACAAATATGGACTCCTAAAACTGTAGAAGAAGTCTACAGCACACTTCTTCTAAACTATCTAGATCAGGGCCAGGGACCCTGTACCCTAATAAATAAAAATTAGCTGTACATACTTGCATGTTAAGGGATGTGGGTGGCGCTGTGGGTTAAACCACAGAGCCTAGGACTTGCCGATCAGAAGGTCGGCGGTTCGAATCCCCGCGACGGGGTGAGCTCCTGTTGCTCGGTCCCTGCTCCTGCCAACCTAGCAGTTCGAAAGCACGTCAAAGTGCAAGTAGATAAATAGGTACCGCTCAGGCGGGAAGGTAATTCTGCTCTGGTTCACCAGAAGCGTCTTAATCATGCTGGCCACACAGCTGTATGCCGGCTCCCTCAGCCAATAAAACGAGATGAGTGCCGCAACCCCAGAGTCGGTCACGACTGGACCTAATGGTCAGGGGTCCCTTTACCTTTACCTTACTTGCATGTTAATACTGATATCTGAAGTTATGTGCAGCTATAACTCTGAAATTGCTACATACATGTCTTTGACTAAGGGTGCCTTCAGACTACATTACTTTCCAGGACAGATTCAAGCGCATATTGAAAATTTAAGTTTGCAGAGTCAGATTAAAGTGCTCTCTCACCGTAGCACCACAAATCCTTTTTTTTTAAAGTGATAATGTGGGACTAACCTCCATCTTTCTATGCACACAGAAGAAGGTTTTATTTCAGCCTGTATCTTACCATCATGACAATCAATGCAGTGATGTAGCTCTGATTCATAAGGAATCGTGCCGATGCTAAAAAGGTACTAGGCCTATTTCCTTCAGTGCCCTGTTCACCATCAGTTTCTGATGCATTTTCAGAGTATGTCTCATCTGCAAGAAATGCAAAAATTTTAGCAAAGGGTAAATTAACCAAAACAACAACAACACACACACCAGTGTCTGGCTTCAGTTAATAAAGTTTTGGAGACTTTGCAGCGTTATATTTAAGCACACCTCTCTCTTACCTGCCCATTTCCCCCTATAAATGACCCAAACAGCACCGTGATCCTTTTCCCTTGGAGAATGCATTTTGAAACATGCAATGGCTAAAATAACATCAAGGGACAGCCTCAGATTCTAGGTTATAACTGCATCCCTTGATAATAACAAAGAGTTGCTGTTTGTTGTTCTTAGAAAGAAGAATAAGAGAAAAGTAAAGATGAAAAAAATTAAGAAGAGTAAGAGCAATTAGGCTTCTGTAATGTACTTCAGTCAATATGCCTACCAAGGTGGTTTACAACAAAGATTAAAGCATTTTACACATTTAAAATCACAGAAGAATTCCACACCTTTCATCAACTGAAATCTTGGCAAACTGCAATGCCCCAATGGTGCAAAAAATGACCATACATTGAATAAAGCCTTACAAAGGGGCCATCGCACAGGAAAATATACCTGAGAAGGAAAGGTTGTGTCCTTCATTGATGTAGGCATTCACATCACAGCTACGATGACTTTGACACTGCAAAAGGAGAGTACTCTGAAAGCTTCCATTTGGAACATAAACCTCCTGAGCAGGGGGAAAAGGGGAAAAAAGGTTGAAATTTTTGATTTTGAACAACAGAGGCTTCACAAAGTCCGGGCTCAAAGTTGCATGAATACCATAACCCCAAGTGGGGAGAATTTCCAGAGGCACCACTTACTTTGAACAGGAAATGCATCACATTTTGTCATATCAGTTCTGAAGTGCTGGAGCTCTACACAATGGCCCCCATAGCCACACACACGAGTGCAGACACACATATTAATGTGGAAATGGCAGTGGTGGAGTTTGGGGGTCTCACATTTCAGCAGTGCCCAGTGTGATGCTAAAGTTCAGCACCCTCTCACACTCCATTCTAAATAGTAGCAGCTCCCTGAGGCGTCCCCGAGGTTCTGCACCCAGTGCAACCAAACTGGTCGTGCTTTCCTAAATCCACCTCCCTAAATGGGATGGAATTGACTCATGATTAAATACATGTGAAATTGAGATGGGCTGGAGAAAAACTGATCCATCAATATACAGCCAAAATCCAATCAGAAAACAGACAGGCATTCCAGACCTCAAGCGATACAGCTGGCAATGTATGTCGTATTTGACTGTATCCCATACCTTAGGAGGCAGAGCCCATCGCTGGAGCATCATGACCAGAGTGTAATAGAGGACAAGAAGGGCAAGAGGATTCAGAACCACCGGCCAGCTGAGCTGGGGATGAACCTGGAGCTTCCAGGGCACAGTGATGTTTGTCTTAATAAGTGGCACTAAGCCCAGGACCCTAGAGAAATGGAGAAAATGGTGAAGAGCTTGCTGCTACTTGATCTTTGTGGAAACAGGAGAGGGAAAACAATAATGCCAAAGAAAGACTAATTTATCTGTAGCAGCCATCTCCTAGGGGCCGAGGTCCTTTCGGTCCCCCCAATAAAATATTTGAGGGGGGCAGCCCCCCCAAAGTTGATGGGCATTGCCATTAAAATGGTGTGTGTGATCCGTGTCATGAGCTTGATTATACGGGGCATGGCTTGCCTGGACCTGCCCCCCCATATTTTATTTAAGTTGGCACCCCTGATCATCACCGAATAAATGCAGCATCGCTTGTGTCAATGGGGCATCATACAGATCAAGGCCACAGGCAGAACTTTAATTTCACTGGTAATAATAATAATAATATATTTGTACCCCACCCATCTGGCTGGATTTCCCCAGCCACTCTGGGCAGCTTACAGTACATATAAAAACATACTAAACTTCAAACATTAAACACCTCCCGATACAGGGCTGCCTTCAGATGTTTTCTAAAAATCAGATAGTTGTTCATTTCCTTAACATCTGTTGGGAGGGCGTTCCACAGGGAGGGTGCAGGAACCACTGCCATTGGTGCTTGAATGGCAGGATCTGATCAAATTGAAAGGCACTTTGATCCAGCAGAGGGAGGCTTCCACCAGCAAAATAGGGAGGAAAATTATTTATGCTGATTCCACCTCTCCCTTGCAGCTGCCTCCTAATCTGTTCCAGGGGGCTGGGGGACCCTTCGGAACAATGTGGGGAGTAGGGAACTCCAGGGGGAGGGAGAATCATGGTGGATAAGCCTATGTTCTATCTCCATCGTCAGAGGCAGCATGGCCCTGTGTACTAGTTTCTGGGAGGCACAGGTAGGAAGAGTGATGTTGCTCTCAGGTTCTGCTTCTGAGTTTCCCATAAGCACCTGTGAGAACATGATGCTGGACTTGAGGGTTTAATCCAGGAGGGCTCTTATTTTTTTGATTGGTTATAACTGGAGGGAACACTAGTGCATATAACCCTCAGTTCTTAACCGGAACCAAGGTCTGCTGTGCTTTCTCTTACATACCATCTTCTTCAGCGTGTGAGTTTGATCTTTTTACCTGGCATAAATGTCTTCAGGAGGAACCAGGTCCTGGAAGTATGGCAGCTGGTACAGGTAAAAAGCACCCAGGTGCCCTGCACTGAATATTGCAACCAAAACACACAAACTGTTGAAGGCAACCGGGCTGATTGGCCGATGGCAAGACCACCAGGAGCACAGGCCTAGGAAGATGAAGAAATAAACTGCAGAAGTTGCCGAAGGTAGGATGATGCCTATGGATAAAGAAATGAAATGTGAAACTTCAGGTTTGCATGGAAAACTGCGTTTGGCTGTGTATGCAGCATGCATTTAAAGTGCGTGGAATTCTCCCAAAGAATCATGGGCAATGTCATCTGTTAAGGGGTGGGAGGGAATTTCAGTTCCATGAGGGGTAAACTACAGTTCTTGGGATTCTTTAGGGGAAGTCATATGCTTTAAATGTATGCATCCTTTGTCTCTGGCAGACTTACGACAATTTAGAACAGGAAGCTGCAGTCCCTCTCACATATTAAACATTTGTTGATAAAAACCGGAGAATATTACTAGAGGAGCATGCATGCACTGGAGAACTCTAATCTTGAGAGACAACTTGCACATGTGAATGGCCCATCAGAGAGGGAAATGTCACAGGTGGAGACTGACACACATCACCTTGCATTACTTCCCCTCCCCCCTCAATAGAGTCCAGTTCAGCCATTCAGCTGTCAATCATGAAACGCACAGGAAAATAGTGCAGAACATTTCTACCTGCTAAGCCCAACAGAAGCACGACGGCCAGTTTCCCAGCACTGCTGAATAGACCTTCACAAAGGATCCTCAAGGCTGCTAGGAACAAAGTGAGTTTCAGAAGGAATCTTTGTTGGCCGTTCTCCAGATTATCCTGCCCAGGTGAACCTTCCATTTCCTCGTCATCAGTATTGTCAGTTTCTGCTTCAGATTCCTGCAGATCCAGAAACAATGAAATAAGAATCAATTCATAGCTGGGATAGCTCAGTCAGTAGAGATCTGGGGCCCAGAGCAAAAATCTTGGGAGCTGGGCCCACTTGACTGCTCCATAATAATGTCTCTGGTTCTGAGACATCATAATGTAAGTATTTTGTCCTGCAGCATGGATATTGTTCTGATACTCTAGCAATCACTTCGACGTTTCACTTGGAACAAAAGCATGGTGTGCCCACAATGCCATTTCACCTAATTATCATGGTTGTTCTTCAAACTGCCAAAGTGTTCAGTGTCCCTAAATAGATGAAGGTGATTGCTAGAAGAGAGATAAGCTCATCCTGAGTCTTTTGCAACCCAGTTTATGTCACGCTTCAGCCTAATGAATGAGCAACCTCACTGAAGACAAATATATGAAAGCTCAGAATACAAAGCCTGGAAGTCGGTGCAAATAATCCATCATTAAATATTTCTCAGTCTGCGGCTCATCGTGCAAGATTAATGCATTCCAACTGGTTGTCACTACTGAGAGGGATAAAGGAAAGCACACATCACAACTCGGGAGCTTAAGAAGATCCCTGCAGGTCTATCTAGCCTAGTATCCTGTTCTCCCAGTGGTCGACCATATGTGGGAGACACCCTTCTATGTCCTGTCCTAGTAACAATCCCTTTGTTTCAATACATCCAGCAGCTGATGTGATCCAGAAATAGGTAGTGTGAGGAGAGGAAATGTACTATAATCTAATAACATAGTCCTGCTGGAGCAGACCAAAGACTAGATAGTCTAGCATCCTGTTCTCACAGTGGAGAACCTGATGCATGCAAGAGGATTTGTGACCGCTCTCTCCCCACATGTGATTCCCAGCAACTGTTATGCAGAAATGTTCAGCTTCTGGCAGTGTAGGCAGCTCCCTCATTCCTAGTAGCCATCAAAAACATTATCCTCCATATATTTTGCCTAATCCTCTTTTTTTGTTTGTTGTTTAGTCGTTTAGTCGTGTCCAACTCTTCGTGACCCCATGGACCAGAGCACGCCAGGCACTCCTGTCTTCCACTGCCTCCCGCAGTTTAGTCAAACTCATGCTGGTAGCTTTGAGAACACTGTCCTCTGTTGTCCCCTTCTCCTTGTGCCCTCCATCTTTCCCAACATCAGGGTCTTTTCCAGGGAGTCTTCTTTTCTCATGAGGTGGCCAAAGTATTGGAGCCTCAGCTTCAGGATCTGTCCTTCCAGTGAGCACTCAGGGCTGGTTTCCTTCAGAATGGAGAGGTTTGATCTTCTTGCAGTCCATGGGACTCTCAAGAGTCTCCTCCAGCACCATAATTCAAAAGCATCAATTCTTCGGCGATCAGCCTTCTTTATGGTCCAGCTCTCACTTCCATACATCACTACTGGGAAAACCAAACCTTTAACTATAGGGACCTTTGTTGGCAAGGTGATGTCTCTGCTTTTTAAGATGCTGTCTAGGTTTGTCATTGCTTTTCTCCTCTTTTTAAAGCCCGCCAAACTTGTGGCCATCCCTATATCAGGTGAGAGCAAATTTACCATGTGCTGCGTGAAGAAGTTGTGTCTTTTGTCTGCCCTGAATCTTCTAACATTCAGCATTGTTCCAGAATTATGAAAGAGGGAGGAAAATATGCTCCGTATCCACTTTCTTATGCCACCTCTATCACATCCCCCCTTACTTGACTTTTTTTTCTAAACCAAAAAGTCCCAAGTATTATAATTTTTCTCCATAGGTGAATTGCTCCTAACCCTGGATCATTTTGGTTGCCCTTTTCTGAAATTTAGCTTAAGAACATATGTATAGTTAGGGTTTCCCCCACTAAGCAGATAATCCATGCAAATTTCCCCCACTCACCAGATAGAGTGAACTATTTAAATTGTTTAAACCTTGGTCTATTGTTAGCTCAGTAATGAAAGATTTGAAGAGTGGTATGCTTAATCTAGCCCATAATTCATTTATGCATTTAATGTGTTGTGTAAATGCATTATATTATTATGTATGTTTCTGCTGGGTTTTGTTTCTCATATTACATAATAACTCAAAATAATAATAAAAGGGGAAAGCACTTGTTCTTCCCCCTTGCAATCCTTATTCATACGCTACAAGGCCAAGAAATCTGAACGCAGGTCTACATAATTACCATTTCCTCTTCCATCTCTTCTTCTTCATCGCAAGGAAACAGGTGTTCGTTCCTTGGATGAAGCTGGGCTTTTTGGTTGAGAAGCTTGACCATCTTCTTGCAAAGTTGTGTGACTGTGAGACTGGTGAGAAACATTCCAATATCGGGAGCCAAAAGACAAATGATGTTCCAAGCATTGAGATTGCTAAACCTAAAGAAAAGAGGGTGCATTAGTATCCCGTAGCGTTAAAGGCTTTGCAGTCAAGAAGGGCAAAGTTCCCTGAATCTGCCCCACATTCAGTGCTCCGTATCTTGCTTAGATATCACTTTGGGGAAACATGCCCACCCACAATGTTCCTCCAACAAGGTGTACAATAGTTAATCAATATGCCATGCATAAAAATGAAAATGTAAGATAAAAATTAAGTCTTACCTCAGAAAACCAAAGTGGCACAGCACTTTCTCCCATAAGAAATCTTTTTTAAAAAGGAAAAGAACCATAGTTATAGACTCAGTGGGGTGGTCAAGTTTGCTGACGATACCACATTGTTCAGGATGGTAGAAACAAAAGCATCTCTCTAATCTAAACTGGGTGAATGGGTATTAAAATGGGAAACACAATTCAACACAGGCAAATGTAAAATGCAAAAACCTAACTTCCCAGTTGCTGGGAATTACAGATGGGCAGAATATTGCAATAGCATCTTTCTTAAATCATTCCCATATGATGTTGAGCAGACATTACCATTAGGCGGCAGGTAATGGAAACAATCTGAAAAGCTGCTTGAACCACAAGGAAAATGAAGCTAGTGTAGGTGATCGCGCTAAGCATCTGCCCGGTGGACCCTGAAAAATAAAAATGTAGACTTTATTTTCATGGACCCCACCACCAAAAGAGAGCATAGCAAAATTTAAACTGGCTATACCTTTGAGACTCCACACCTCTGCCTTTTCTGGTGGCATTTTTTGAGGGGAAACGGAGAAATGTTAGAGGGTGTGGAACTCCACTCCAGGAACTTTTGCAAGTTCTTAGGGTACAGGCCGGTCCTACCGTTAGGCAGAGTGAAGTGGCCACCTCAGGTGGCAGACACTGGGGTACCAAGAGTGGCAGCAAAACGTTGAGGGTGGGCAGAGCTGTGTGTGCACCCTCTAAGCTAGAACTTTCTTCTCAGGGGAGGTAGAGAATTTTGTCCTATCACCAGCGCTCAAGCAAAATTCAAATGCAACTCTAGTAGGCCTCTCTGTATGTGGAAATGGAGGGAGGGCATCAAAAAGTTTTGGGTCGGTCCCACTAGCAGGGCTGTGTCCCTACTTCATGGAGTATAGTCCTCTGATTGAAGATGTCCTCTCTTTGAAGAGCTGTCTGTCTGGAACAAGTATTCTTGGTTTGTTTGTTTTTTGATTATGTATTTTTATATTGTTTATATTGTGAACTGCCCTGAGACATGTGGGTATATACAAATCTAATAAATAATAATAATAATAATAATAATGGTTTAAACAGGGCTATTTTTCAGCCGGAACTCGCCAGAACTCAGTTCCGGCACCTCTCAGGTGGGCGCCATTGCCATTATAAGAGAACAAGGGAGGCCTTCATGGCGAGTTCCGGCACCTCTTTTTCTAGAAAAATAGTACTGGGTTTAAAGATCAAGAACCCCAGGAAGGGAGTGCAATGAGGGCCTTCAAACTGCCTGTTAACTGTTAAGTTGTGGGTGAACATATCAGACAACACAGCGATTCTTCAAACAGCTCTTGTTTATTCACAGGCCAGAACAGAACTGAGCTGAACTAGAGCTCCAGTACAACGTAACTGTAACAACTTTCTGTAACTATCCAATCACTGAACGTAACTTTTGACCCCTTATTTGCATATGGGGACCTGAGTAAAACCTATCTACAGTATCCCCCTGCTGGCCCAGGGTGAGAACTTCAGTACATAACACCAACAATTAGCACTTAGAAGAGCTCCCCAGCCTTGATCTGAAACTTTCAGCAATTTGCCTACCTTTCATGGTGACAGCATTTGGTTTGGGGAACAGCGGCAGGAGCAGCAAGAAGAAGAGATAGACCACAGAAAGCCCATTGTATCTGAAACCTATAGCTAGGGAAACAACCAAGCGTTACATAAGAAAATCTTCAGCATGAGATGCGAGAAAGCCTCCAGCTTACCATTTAATAAACAGGAAGCTTCCTTGTTCCAGGTCAGGCTATTTGTGCATCTAGCTCAATATTTGAGTAGGAGTGGATCTCTGGGATCTCAGGCAGAAATCTGCCCATCTCTTGCTATCTAATCCTTTTAACTGGAAGTGCCAGATACTGAACTTGAGGCCTTCTGAATGCCAGCCATGCAGACCCTCCAAGTGTCCCTATTTTCCAGGGACAGTCCCAGAGTTTCTGAAGCCATCCTGATGTCTGATTTGATCCCAGAATGTCCCCCTTTCCCTTAGGATGTCCCTATTTTCATTGGAGAATTGTTGGAGGCTATGGAGTTATGCGATCCCTGAGCCAAGGAGATAAGTAACTAAACAGCTTTTAGAAGACATCTAATGGCAGCCCTGTATAGGAAAGTTTTATAATGTTTTATAATTTTTTTTATATATGTTGGAAGCTGCCCAGGGCGGCTGGGGCAACCCAGTCAGATGGGCAGGGTATAAATAATAATACAGTGGTACCTCGGGTTACAGATGCTTCACGTTACAGACACTTCAGGTTACAGACTCCGCTAACCCAGAAATAGTACCTCGGGTTAAGAACTTTGCTTCAGGATGAGAGCAGAAATCGTGTGGTGGCAGCAGGAGGCCCCATTGGCTAAAGTGGTACTCAGGTTAAGAACAGTTTCAGGTTAAGAACAGACCTCCAGAACGAATTAAGTTCTTAACCCGTGGTACCACTGTAGTAGTAATAATAATAATAATAAAATACTAATAATAATGGGACAGGACATCTCTATTTTCATTGAAGAAATGTTGGTCTACCAACAGAGCCATGCAGAGCTTCCCTGAGGCCTGGGTCGGGAGTATTGTTGGAATAAAGTTATAAACTCAAATAAAAAAGCAGCTAGTCCCTGGGGGGGCTCCCAGCCAGTTTAGCCCTCTGAGGCAAGGAGCAAGTGTATCTGGCTGCCCACCCCTCTCCACGGGTCTGTCTACCACTGAACGATGGTCCCTCTCTGAGAACTTTTGCCCAACATGAGCCCTGAAGCACCAACACTGAGTTTAAGAGTCCATCCCTAACAGTATGGCCAGAGCTTGCGGGGCCTTTAAACATAGGCTACAACTTTCTGCAAGGCTGCAAGTTAATGCTTTACATGGGGGTAAATCCCACTGAACACAGTGAGACTGGCTCATTCTGCTGGTTGCTGTTTGCACCGGTTCAGCAGTAAAATGTGGGTTTTCCCCGGGGAAGTGTCAGGACAAAAATAAACTGCTCAGATGCAGAGCTATAAAGTGTGGACCTTTGCCTGAGGAGCCTAGTGCGAAAGGAAGTCTGCAGAGCCCTTACTTCCAGGTAAGTCTATATAGGAATGCAGTAACAGTAGCAATTGTCTGATGTTCTGTGTGCCTCTAACCCTTGTTTGGTTTAGCCCAGCGTGACATTATGAATTGCTTGCCCACCTAACAGATAAAGAAGCACACCTACTTTCTCCTGCCAAAATGGCTGTGCAATTTTTCCATAAACTAGCCTGTCTGATTTCTTTCCAAAGGAATGCATGAGTCCAATTGATACGATTTGTTTATTTATTTATTTATTTTAATGCCGTAGCGGCTACGTATAGCAGGGTTCTATTTTGCGGCGGCGGCAGAGCACAAAAGCCGTTCAACGGGACCTTCAGCATGGATAGCAGCAGTCCTACAGCCCTGGCTAGTTGACAATTACGGTTTCTGGATCCAATGGAACACCATAGAGTGTTCTTCTCCGAAACATTTAATCCTCTGTGCATTCTTACACATCGGCTATCAGAAACTTTTAAAGCACCAGAAGCCACATCCCATAAATGTGTGAACTACAGTGATTAAAAAAATAAAAATCTCCCCTCTGCAAATAATTACAAAGCAAGCAACTCAAAACTACAATATCAGTTTAATTAATGCAATGGACGCAGTCCAGACAAAGCTGAGCACTTTTAACTTTCACTGATTTCTGCAGTAGAGACTTAAGTGCATGAATTTACATCAGTTTAAAAACTGCTCACCTTTGGCTGGATTGTGTGCAGTTGGTTGAATTCCATTCAACTGACCTAAGTTGGTCAGTTTCATTCCTGATGCAAGTCCGCCGAATTAGTGAAATTTCATTTCCTTGCTCTCTCTTATTTCCCTTATAAACACGATGCAACATAAAGTCTTAAGGCGTAAGTGGAAATGTCTTACCTGCTGCCAAGGAGAGTGACAGACCTAATCTGAAAATTAACCCACAGGCTAAACTATTTGCCATGGTCTCCTCTGTCCAGCATCAGGACGGGGATATCAGCGAAGTAGGTTGCAGCTACTGCCCCAGCCTTCTGACCCAATGGCTAAAGGAAACTGCGCCGAGCTTTTAAACTCTCATTCCAAATATGGTCTGCTTTCCAATCAATGGCTCTGTATTAATTTTTTACAAAAAGTAATACGAAAACTGGTGAATCTCCAGTAATCTTCATGTTCTGTAAAATGGGAAGTATTGATCTACCTGGGCTTTCTCCCCCCCCCCCGACTTGAATCCTAATTTTCCTTTGCAGCTGAACAAGTAGGCTGGTGCTTGGCTTTCGGGCATCAATCTCCTTTTCTTCCCCAAGTTTCCCTTACTCGTCTGTTTTCCAGATCAAAATAACCAGTCAGAACAGAATCAGCCTTCAATCAGCAGTTAGGAATTTCTCCAATCTCCCAACAATGTGATCTGTTGTTGCTTTTTCCTTCGGTGTGAAACTCCTTTAGCCACTGAATGTATACCTCTCAGGAATGATCACAAAACTTTAATTCCAAGCTGTGTTTTAGTTGCAAACCACGAAGGATCTTGCTGGCACGTGATGAGGTTGTTTGTTGAAAGTCTCCATCCACTTCGTAAATGTTAATCTGATGCAACATATGTTAACAATCATCCCTGGTAAGTGTACGTAAAGCCTTAAATGGCTCAGAACC